ACAGGTTTCTAGAAAATTAAGAAAATTTTTTGTCCGCAAAAGATTTGCGGATAATCCGCAAAAATTTTTGTCAATGAGACATTTGGTCCTAATTTAATTTTTTTTAATTTTGTAGGCTCGTCTCCAATTTTGAGAAAGAATAGAATTCATTCAGGAAAGCAGGTTTATAATTGTTTTAAAATTTTAAAAAATTGATGAAAAATTTTTCGTAGGTTGGCGTCTACTTTTACGACAACGGTCACGGTCTTTTGGAAGAAAATGATATTTTTAATCATTTATATTCTGGAGTACAAATTAGGTTATTTTTAAATGAGAGATTTTTTGTTATTTGAAAAAAATTTTTTAGAACCGGTTCAAACCCAAAAATTACTCGAAATAAAATTTGGGGTGGTCAAAATGGTGGTGTGCTTGTTTATAATAATGGAAATGGTGTTCTTGAGGTAGGAGAAAATGAAATATTTTAAATTGGTTTTATTGGGTTTAATACGAGGAGTTTGAGAAAGGGACAACTCGGAGAAATTTTTATAAAAAAATTTTTCCGCAAAAAATTTGCGGATCGTCCGCATAAAAGTTGCGGATGTCCGCAATTATTAATTTTTATTTTTTGGGTCATTAGATTGGGATTACCTTTAGAAAATTTTTGCAAATTTCAGGACAATGAAATATTCGATAATGCAATGGCTGGTGTATGGATCAAAACAGATAGTAATCCAACACTTAGGAGAAATAAGGTTTTTTAGAAGTTTTTTAAAGGAAAAATTTTCCTTAAAGATTTATGATGGGAGAGATGGAGGTGTCTGTATTTTTAATAGAGGGAGAGGCCTTTTGGAAGACAATGATATTTATAGAAATGCACAATCTGGTGTGTTAATCTCAACAGAATCAAATCCTGTGTTAAGAAGAAATAGAATTTTTGAAGGAAGAGCTGCTGGGATTGAAATTACTAATGGTTATTTTAAATTTAAAATTTAATTGGGATTGTTTGGAGGGGAGCAAGTTTGGGGGAAGATGTGTGACGTTAGGTGTCTTAGTTAGCTTCAAAATTTTGAAGACTGGAGTTATTACTCGAATTCGACGCCGGGTCAAGAACAAGGGGATTCCAGGCATTTTGGATAAATCTAGGGGATTCTGATAGGACAAGGGGATTCCGGGTATTTTGATAAAATCTGATGTGAGTTTTCATTTTTCCAAGTTTTAGACTGGAAAACATGGAAAAATCCAAAAAGGAATCAATAGCTAATCCATGGCTATTTAAAAAAATTTTTTTTTCTAGGAGCAAGTGCAACATTAGAATATAATTTGCTTTATAATAATCGTTTTGGAGGTTTATTTTTGAAATTTTTATTTTTTCTTTTAAATTTTTTTAAATTTATAAGGTCTTTGTTTGGCAACTGATGTACGCCCAATTCTTCGTGATAATCGTGTTTATGATAATTATAATGCTGTTGAAAGAGCGATAAATAAAGGATTTTGTTTGTTTAGAATAAGTTCTTGTACATCTTTTCCAATGCATGATTTTTACAGGTTTTTTTCAAATTTTTTATAAGGTGTCGGAGTTGTAAGATTTATTGAAGGGAGTTGTAGCAGTGAACTTCTGATAGGGGGATTAAGTCATATCCTTCCGACTCGGGACCTGTGAGGAAACTTCCAACCCAGGATCTATGAGGGAATGGAGATAATCCAGCTTTAAAAGACCAAAAGACAGTTAAGGGAGCGTAGAACATTTAGGAGACCAACAACGTCTTGGGGGCTTGCATCACTTAGGAAACCAAACGGGGAGTTTATGACATAGGATGCCAAAGGACAGTTAGAAAGCCAGCGGCTTTTGGGAGGCCAAAGGACATTCAAGGGAGTGTCACCACGATGATGGGAGTAGATGGGAAAATTGCTGTGATTCCCAGTGGGGCCCACCCCTTTATATTCTCTTTGTAAAAAAAATTTCTAGCAAAAATTTTTTTTGATTTTGCTTAAAAGACTCATCTTTTTTTATCTTAAAGATGTATAACTTGTAATACAACAGAAAGAAATGCAATTTGTGTAAGTTGTATAAATGTATGTCATCGTGGTCATCAAGTAGAATTTGTTAGGCATGACAGGTTTTTTTTTAAATTTTTCTAAATAAAAAAAATTTTTTTTGAAGATTCTTTTGTGATTGTGGTGCTGGAACATTGGAACAACAAACTTGTTGTCTACAGAATGAGATGAAGGATAATGGTATTTATATTTTTTAATATTTTTTAGGGTTAGGTAGAGAGTGATTTAATGGATAGGCCAGTGATTTCTAGGTTCCAAAAAATTCGAAAGGTTCTTCGGTTCCAACTTTTCGAATTTTGCGAACGTCGAGAGGTTTAGAGCGGTTCGGTACTTTTCCGTTTTGTTACACCCCCCTAAATTAATGCTCAAAATGTCACATATAGGGTAATTAAAGGTGCTGAGTCGGTCGGTACCCTTCTTTTTCCCAGGAGATGTATGTGAACTGAGATAAAGGGCTCGAAATGGTCAAAAGCCATTGGCCATTTTGGGGTAAAAAATTTGCATATGCAAATAATAGCTCATTCGAAAGAGCTCGACGAGCTGAGTTGAATGACACCAAAATCACCGTCTTCGAACAAGTTTGGACCGAGTTACGATACAAAAAATTGTGTGGTTCTTCAATATTCAGGGACCTGAATCTCGGTCAAATCAAATCAAATTTCGTTGATCTTGGTGTCTTTCGACTCAGCTCCATGAGCTCTTTCAAAGGGGGTTTTATTTGTATATTCGAATTTTTACCCCAAAAATGAACTTACTCCCCCCTATGGTTTTTGACCATTTCGAGCCCTATATCTCGGTCCACAGACATCTCCTGGGAAAAAGAAAGGTACCGTTCGACTCAGCACCTTTTATTACCTTATAAGTGACATTTTGAGCATTAATATATGGGGGTGTAACAAAACGGAAAAGTACCAGCGGTTCTAGAGGGTTTTATAGATTTTCCAAGCGATTCCAGTTTTGATTGAATTGCGGTTCCAACGAGGTTAGGGGCCAGGCGATAATAATTGTAAGGCCTGATAAAACGGGGCCGTCGCGACGATGGGAGTCTTATAGGAGTATATTGGTGATGGATTATGTTAGCGGGCACAAGCGATACTTGTGAGGCTAGAGGACATTCAGGAGGGGAATAAGACGGGGCCGTCACAACGATGAAAGTAGTCGGCGGGAGAATTGTTAGGATCCTCACCCCCCTCCTCTCCCCTCCATAATTTTTTGGTTGCCTGAGTCTAAAAATTCTTTAAGAAAATTTCAAATCATTTTTTATAGACACAGTCTATGATTCTGCACAACCTACAGAGAGTGAAACAGGTAATGATGTTGGTGGTGGTGGTGGGGCTGGTGGTGCAGCAGGTCAAGCAGCAGCTGCACCAAATCCTTAAAAATTAAAAAATGAAAAAACAAATTTCTTTTGTAAATTAAATATAATTTCTAAAAAAATTTATTTTATATAAAATTAGGTTTTGAAATTTTTTAATTTTATGTAATTATTTTATTAAATTTTTCCAAATAATTTTATATGTGACAGAAAAAAATTTTTTATAATACCTAATATAATTTTTATTTAAATAAATTTTTTAAATTCTTTGGCGAGAATCTTTAGAAAACCCATGGGGTTATTTTCTGTTCCAGGAAAAAAATTTTTTTGGCCTTGATTCAAGCCAATTTTGATGACCTCATAATAATCAGCTTAAATTAGAAAAAAATTTTTAAATTTGAGAGGGGAGCGGGGCGAAACATCAATTAGGACTTGACCGGCCGTGGCTCTAACCGGAAAATAGGAGAATCCTGCTTCAACTTACTACATTTTAAAGTCGAGAAATGCGGCCGAGTCGAGCCCTCCTATTTAATCTTTTTGTCTGAGACTCAAGTGTCCCTTTTATTTTACAATTTTCGCTGTAAAAGATTTCGTGTTTGGCGTTATGTTTAGAATTGGCGTTTTTTCGAAAAACAACAAAGGAAAATTTTTGTTTTTGAGCAAAGATTATTTATTTTTCTTTTTGGTCTTTAAAAGTTATTTTTAGATTTGTTTTCTTTTTTTTCTTTCTTTTTTTTTATTTGGGCGTGTGTTTTGTTGCGTGTTATTTTCTCTTTTTTTTGGTTGCCGTCGTTACAGAATTTTAAAAAAAAACGTTTTTTTTGCAAAAGGAATGTTCCATTTGCATGCTCTGTTCCCCTTATTTTAATTTGTTAATCTCTTCTAAATTTATTTTAAAAATTAGAAAAAATGTTCAAAATCTTTTGATTAATCAATCTATCTCTATATTTTTGCACTCCTTTATTTTTTGCACTTTTCAATTTTTTTTGATAACAACAAAACGAGGGGGAATTTTTTTAAATGAATGAATGTGTGTTCTTTTATTTATTTACTTTCATTTATCATTTAATGATAACAGAAAAAAAATATTTTTTTCAAATGCTTATCTCTCTCTTTATTCATTATGATCTTTTTTTACATAGGCGTGCTTTCCCCTTCGATTGCTTTTTATCTATATAAAAGTTGATATATTTTTATTTTTTACTTTTTTTCCTCAACTCTCTATATTTCATCAGTCCAGTATATAATTTGTTGTTTAGTCATTCCCCTCTCCCCATGTGTTTGTTTACAAATAATTGAAAGGGAAAGGGCGGGTACAATTAGGCGCGCGGCCATAACGGCGCAAAGCCATAACTTGCTTTATGATTTTCGAATCTTATCAAATTTAGTATTAAACGATTCCTCTCATCGAGCTGAAGAGATTGCTACCAAAATTAATAAGGGCCAGAAATTTTCCAGCAAGTTATGGCTCTGCGCCGTTATGGCCGGCGCCTATTTGGGCGTGTTCCGAATGGGGAAAGGGAGAGTATTTTTTCCTTTATTTTTAATAATATTTTTGAACAGTAAATTGACTATATTTTTGTTTTTTTTTTTTAATTTTTGTTTTTAGAAAATTTTCTGGAAATTTTTTTAAAAATTTTAAAAATCGAAAATGGCCGATAAATTTGTTGGAAAGTGGAAACTTTGTGATTCTACCAACTTTGACGAATATTTAAAACAAGTTGGAGTTGGCTTATTGACTCGTACTGCTGCTAAGGCTATCAAACGTTTATTTTTTTGATTAAAATTTTGAAAAATTTTTTTTTGAATTTAGCGGAATTGGAATTTGTGGTTGATGGAGACAAGTGGAAGATGACGTCAACTTCAACTTTTACCACGTGGGTGTGTGAATTTTTGTTGGGTGAAGAAAAGGAGCAGGCAACTGCTGATGGGCGTAAATTGAAGGTTTTTTTTTAATTTTTTCTTGAAATAATTTTTTAATTTCTCTGGACGTTGGGTAGGCTGGGGGTTAATTCTGGGCTGTAGAAGTATTTTTCAATATTTCTGACTTTTACTTGGAGCATATTTTTTTATTTTGTGTTGTAGTCGTCCGTGGCAGAATGGTTAGTGTTCCCAACTTGTGGTTTGATGGGTCAGGGGTTCGATGCCGTCTGACGTCTAATTACTTTTAATTGCCTTTCCTCGCGTTTTTAATTATTCTAACGACTAGAAAAATTTTTTTTTTAATCGTTTAACAATTTCTATTTAAGTGCACCTTCACTTTTGTTGACGGAAAACTTATCGAAGAACAGAAGAAGATTAAAGATGATGACAAGGAAAGCCATTTTGAGGTTTTTAATTTTTAAATAATTTTCTTAAGGGGATTCAATTTCTTATTTTTCAGCGTTATATTGATGCTGATGGAAAATTGGTGATTACTTGTAAGAGTGGAAATGTTGAAGCTGTTCGAAAGTATGAAAAAATTTAAATATACGGAAGAAAAGGAAGGTTTGAGAGTACAAAAAGAAAACACATTTTTTGATATAAAAATTTTTTTTAATTGATAATTTTGCTGCCTTTTTTGGACTTTATTGGCATTCTTTTAATTGTGTATTCACTTTAATTTAAAAATTTAATTGATTATAAATGTAAAAGGCACTTTAATTTTTTATTTTATTTTTTGTTTTGGGTTATTGACCTGTTTATTTTTACGTATTGTGTGCTTGATTATTTTCTAGACTGGAGGAATTCTTGTATGTGCGTCTTTTATGTGCATATTATTATTTCTAAGTGGCTGATTTGGTTAGCCCAACACAAAAAAATGTTACACTCGGGTAAGCACACATCATGACTTTAAGTCTTTATCAGTCTATAACTTTCCGTGTATTACTCCGATCAGATCAATCCTGTTAGGTAAAATAATCCCCACGTTTAGAGCTTTCGATTGATATAAAAATTATTCTAATCGGTTAAGAATTAACAAAGTTGTGGCCAAGAATTTAACATGCCTTTTCTTTCCTTTTTAAAATTTAAGGGAAATTAATTATTTTGGCATTCTGTTTAATTTTGTGTATGTCTTTTTATTTTCTTTGGGAGCAGAGTAAAAATTAAGGAAATAGTACACAAATTGAGAGAGACAACAAAGGATAGGGTTGCAGAGAAATTTTTTTGTTTTTTATTGTTTTTCTTCGGGTGTTTTTTCCTGTTTTTTTTTGTTTTTTTACTTCTTTTTATCCTTTTATTTTAGTAATCTAGAGTTAATTTAATGGAAGAAGAGAACGAACAACTAGATTATGATGAATTGGATGATTTGGAGATTGCAAGAAAGAAATGTAAAGAGCTTCAAAAAGCAATTGTAGTTGACGCTTTACAAGCGGAAGAAGCTTCTAGTACTTCAAAAAATGATGATAATCAAGAGGTGTTGGGGCCAGGAACGAAGACTATTCAACAACAGAAAGAGGTTTCTTCAAATTTTAATTTTTATTTTATTTTAATCGGGGTTGTTCACGATCGATTAACCGGAATCGGAAATTTAAATCGGTGGTTTTAACGAATTAAATGGAATCGAAACTAAGTTCAATACAAGGCCATAACCGAAAACTATGGGTACAGGTTAATAACATGGTAGTGGACAACCCTATTTTAACTCTCGGAGATCTAGTTTACTGGTTCCTAGGCAAAATGAGTAAGAAGTGCTCTTTCAATATTTTTGAAGGTTTCCATGAGGTATTTACGCGTCTTAGATTTGAATCTGAGTTCATTTTTTATTTCGTATCCTGCATCCAAACTCGACCAGGCAGTATTCTAATCTCACACAGGCAACCTGTAAAAACATTAAGAGCATATCTTGCTCATCTTTCCAATGACCAGTAAACTAAAGATTACCCTTTTCTTAAGTCTTTGGCTGTGACTTCTCAAAATCATCAATCTTCTTCTACCTTCCCTCCAGGGACAGAACCTTTTAGCATTTCAACGTCTTCATTTTCTTACTCTCTTGATAACCCACCGCCTCCAGGCGTTTCTTCAGTTCCAATAATTTTATCCTCAATTCCACCACCAATAACTTCAAATATTCCACGTCCATCTCTCCAACAACAACAAAATTTTGTGGGCAAATATTATGTAAATCCAAAATTTAACAACCACAAAAATTTTTATAAGAGAAGCAAAACTTTCTATAAAAAATTTGCTCCGCCAACAATTGTTAATAGCAATGCGTTTCCTTCGCTGCCGTGGAATAAAGCCAATAATTTGGTTTTTTTTTGTGATTATTTTTAATTTGTATAAAAATTGTTTTTTAGACATCTCGAATTGGAGGAAGTACAGTTCAATTGAGTGGAGGAACTGTGCCGATAAACAACCAAAATTTGCATGTTCCTCATATACAAGGTTTGTCTTTATTTATTTTTTTTTGAGAAAGCTGGGAGTCGCTGGGCGATCTAATTGTGCGGGTAGACCGGATCAACTTGATTTTCGTCTGGTTTGGGTCTAAGAAGTTCGGGTTCCCTGAGTCTGTCCGTCAGCCCGAATACCCTAATGATTTATTTTTGTAGCCGAGCCTTTATGGCTCGAGTTGGTTGAACATATCGAATCCTACCAAGAATGCTAGCTTCACTAGAATTAATTTACAAACCTAGGTGTGTGTTGGGGTGTGATTTTTTCTATATCCTCATCCTTACAAAATCCCTATCCTTTTGTATTCGGACATTTGCGGACAATTTTTGCGGATTTTTGGGCACGATTTTAACAAGCTTTTTAATTCTCCAAATATTTTTCAGGTCCACAAACCCTTGCTCTACCTACTTTTTTGCCTACAAATCCTCATTTGACAGCAGTTTCGACTTCTTCAACAACTTCATTTCTACCACCTACAACTGGAAATAATATTTACATAAATCGTTCAGTTTTGCAAACAACAAATAGTTGGAATGCTATGGTTGATGAATTTGTTAGGAAAAATGTGACTTCAGGTTTCTTTTAAATTTAAAAAAATTTTGAAAAAATTTTTTTTAGACATTCGCCCTCGTCATTATATTTCTTATTTAAAACAAAGTCGAAGTCGTTCAAGCAGCAGCAACACAAGTAGACGAAGTAATAGTTGCAGCAGTGCATCTTCTGTAATTTCGAGGAATAGAAGCTGTTCTGTTACTGACGATAGTGCAAATAATGGTTTGGATTTTTTTTCAATTTTTTCGGATTTTTAAATTTTTTGGGACATCTTTTAGGTGGGTAGGCTTGTAGTGAAAAAAATATGTGAGGGTTTATCGAACATTTAATTGTGTTTAATTAAATTGTTATTTAATTGACCGGTAGTGTAATGGTTAGTGTTCCTGGTTTGTGATTACAATTTCGAGGGTTCGACTCCCTTTGGATCTTTTCGGTTTTTTTCCTTGAAAAAAATGTTTTTTTTAATTTTTAATTAGAAAGTTTTCGGTACTTAAAATTTCAAAAATAATTTTTGAGTGACAATAATGGACTAATTGACCAAAAAAGTTTTCTTATTTTAATTTTTCTTTTCAAGATTATTCAAAACGTCGACGTTTAGAACCAGCTGAAGGGGAAGTTTATCATTCTCGTAGACGTAAAAGTATTGATAATGGACAGAGGAGAAGTAGACGATATTATAAGGATGCTCGAGAAGATGATGAGGTTTTTTAAGAAAAATTTTTTTAAATTTTAAAAATTTTTCTAAAGGAAATAGCACATAACCAAGCAATTGAATGTGCTCGTGCTATTGGTTTGGATGAAGATTATTTGAAAAAAGTTGAAGAACAGCAACGCTTGAGGGATGAAATATTGCGAAAAAAGACACAAAAACGTAAAGAAAAGGAAGCTGCAATTAAAGGAATGGAAATTTTGAATAAAAAAAATTCAAAAATGGAAGGTTTGTTTAAAGGGTTTTTGTCAATTGTTAAAAATTTTATATTTATTGGGGGTTTGGGGTTATGATTTGAGTTTTCAGAATTATTTTCTCTACAGGAATTTTTTTTGTTGTAATTGACTTTTTGGGATACGTCTTGGAAGTGATGCTTGGGTATCCCGACTCCCTAATCAGTAAATTTTTTTTAGTTTTTGGTCTCCCGACTCCCGTTGTCATTTCCCGATCCGACTCCTGTTTCCGGACTCCTGACCTACTATTTCCCGTTTTCCGATCTCTTTATTTCCCCTGACCCCCCCCTCCTCCGGTTACTCCTTTGATATCTAGTAGTGCGTGTAAATATAAACGAGATTTGACTACAATTTAACTAATCTTTTAAAAACCAGGTGCCAATGAATCTGACTTAAAACAACAACAAGAAGAATCTAGACAACAACAACAAAAAAGGCATTTAACAAGTAATTCGACAAGAAAATCAACAACTAATAAAACTAGTAAAACAAGTGAACAAATAAAAGAAAAGGAAGAAATAAATAAATTGAGACCTTATTTGGCTGTTGTTTGTACAAATTTGCGAGGAATTACAAGTGTGGAAAAGAAAATTGGGGCATTGGCGGCGACTATTGGAAAGACTAAGGTTTTTAAAAAAATTTTTAATTTATTTTTCAATTAGAATTTTTTAAATTTTGAAGAAAATTTGTTTTTGGAGCTAAATAAATTATTTCCCCTTGACCGGGTTCGAACCCGCACCCCCTTTTTAATTATTTTTAACGTGAAACGTAAAATGTCCACTTAACCAAAGAAACAAGTTTTCATAATTTTGATTATTTTGAGTGGAAAAGTTCAGAAAAATATTTTAAAATGTTCAAAATGTTTATAAAACAAGTTTAATTAATGTTTTTAATTTTAAAAATTGGAAAAAAACAATTAAAAAGATTTTTTCTTTAAAGAAAATTTGGCGAGTTGGTGGAGATGATTGTCACATAATTTTTGAGAAGCACGAACATGCAAAACAATTTATGTTACAGTATTATGGGTATTCTTTTTTTGTATTTTTACAAAATTTATTTTTATTTTAAATAGAAAGAGGCTAGGAAATGCTCCTTCGACTCGTATAGATGTTGTCCTAAAGAAGGTATTCCTAAATATATCTTCGCAGCCAACAGACTAATGACTGAGTTTTGAAGGTTTTAATTTTTAAGCAGAGAAGTTTTTATTTTAGTTGGAAATGTTTTTTAAATAAAATTCATATAGTTTGGTCTTTTTAAAAATTCTGTCCCCCGAACGGGTTCGAACCCACGACCCCTAAATTTCAGATTTTTCAATTTCTTGACCCTAAAATGTAAATATAAATTTTCCTGGTGTCTAAAATAAAATACAAGCCCACTAAAATTCTTTTCGATTAAGTTCGGACCTCTTAAAAAATTCCGGCCCTCGAACGGGTTCGAACCCACAACCCCTAATTTTACCTTTCTCTTTATTTTTCAAAGTAAAACTTAAATACAGACTTCTCTTCAATTTATAATAAAAAATATAAGCACAGGGGGGAATATTTTTACCCGAATAAATCTGTCATTTTTATTAACATACACAATTTTCTATGATTTTTTAAGAAGTATTAAAGTATTTTTTCTTAGCTAAATATAATTTGTTTTAAATTTCAAAATAAAGATCTTAATTTGTGCAAAATTTTTATTGTATTTATATTTGTATATTTTGTATTTAAACATAAAAATCATGTCCTATAAAATGATAAATTTTAAATGACTTGACGTTTTGCAATTTTGGCTTTCTGAAAATCGATATATCGATTGATATCGATTTATTGATTTTTTAAGAAAATAAAATTTTAAAAAATAAATTATCGATTTTATCGATTGGTATCGATTTATTGATTTTTTATCGATTTTTTGAAAAAATAAAATTTCTGAAAAATAAATTATCGATTTTATCGATTGGTATCGATTTATTGATTTTTTATCGATTTTTTGAAAATTTGAAATTTTAAAAAAATAAATTATCGATTTTATCGATTGATATCGATTTATTGATTTTTTATCGATTTTTTGGAAAATTAAAATTTTTAAAAAATAAATTATCGATTTTATCGATTGATATCGATTTATTGATTTTTTATCGATTTTTTGAAAATTTAAAATTTTAAAAAAAAATATCGATTTTATCGATTGATATCGATTTATTGATTTTTTATCGATTTTTTGGAAAAATGAAATTTTTAAAAAATAAATTATCGATTTTATCGATTGATATCGATTTATTGATTTTTTATCGATTTTTTGGAAAATTAAAATTTTTAAAAAATAAATTATCGATTTTATCGATTGATATCGATTTATTGATTTTTTATCGATTTTTTGAAAATTTAAAATTTTAAAAAAAAATATCGATTTTATCGATTGATATCGATTTATTGATTTTTTATCGATTTTTTGGAAAAATGAAATTTTTAAAAAATAAATTATCGATTTTATCGATTTATTGATTTTTATCGATTTTTTAGAAAAAATTTTTTTAAATTACAGTGGGACAAAATGTCATTTATTTTTAAAAATAAATATTAGACAATCTTCCCAATATTTTTAAACTACAAATTTATTTGTATATTTTTGAGACTCTAATGTACTAGAAAACAAATTCAAATTTATCAAAACAATACATATTGCTTAAGAATAAAAGAAAGGCAATTTATAAGTACAGAATTATTGAATTGAAAACTGTTAAAAAATATTAAAATTAATTGGAGATTTCTCTAAAAATTAATTTCCTAAAAATCTCTCCAATTAAGTAAAGGCAATTATTATTTAATTAAAAATGGCTGCTAAATTATTGCTGACTAGTTTATTTATTTTAAAATACCTCCTCTCTCTCTAATTTATTTATCCCCATCCACCAGTTAATTTATGAAATCCTTCTTCATCCAAAGTTTGGTTTTGATCTTTGCTTCGTAATGACATAAATATATATCCTCCAATAAATTCATGTACTACCTAGAAAAATTTTTTAAAGTTAATTGAAGGATAAAAATGGAGGTTTTTTGAAATTAATTTTAAAAAATAGTCTAGACAGGTTTTAATTTGAAAAAAATTGTTTTAAAAAATTAAAAAAAAAATTTATTTTAATTTAAAAATCCATGAAAAATTTTTATTTGGTAAAAATAAACGGAAAAAATTTAAAATTAAAGAATTAACCCAAAAGGATTCGAACCATGTACCTAAAAGTACTGTAGGAGAGAACGCTAACCATTATACCATTGGTGATCCCAAAGTAATTTATTTAAAAATGGTATAAGGCAAATCAGAAATGAATATATGTAGGAATAATGGTTTAAAATTTGAGAGCCATCCTCAGAAAATTTAAAAAATAAAATCTTATTTTTTATTAATAAAAATCCCTTAATTTTTTACAAACTTATAAGAACAAGTCTAGACTATTTTTAGATTTAATTTAAAAAGATCTTTTTCCTTAAATTAAATTTTTTACCTTGCAATCAGCACTTAACGGTTTAAATTCAATATCTTCCGTATCAAATTGCACTTTTATATGACGAATTTCCCAGTTAACGTGCCACTTTTTCATTCCAGCAAATCTTAGAAAAAAAATTTTTATAGAAATAAAAATATTAAAAAATAATTAACCCAGAAAAGATTCGAACCCAATACCTAAATAGAAGTGAAACCTAGAACGCTAACCATTGTACCACCAGTGAAGTAAGGGGAATCACTTAAAAAATTAATACAAGGGTACAGAAAAAAAATTGGGCTGACAAAGGAGGGTGCCTGAGGTGTCCGTGGGTCTTAACCGATTTAAGTACATATAATACCAATCGAAAGCTCTTAATTTGTAGATTATTTTATCTAACAGGACTCTTTTAATTAGATCATCATATCCAAAGTTATAGCCAAAAAACCATCAAAAATCACGATTCCACGCACTTACACAAATACAACTTTTCGTAAAATTATCAGATTAAATTAACCTTAATGGCTGAAATAATCCTCAGATTTAGAGCTTTCGATTGATATAATAAGTTGGTCAAATCGGTTAGAGAAAATTTTTTTAATTTAAAAAACCTCCAAGTCTTTGTAGCTTCCCCATTGTCACTATTTATTTTCATTATTCTATTGTGTGCTACAGCAATTAATTCTGATTTATTATTCTTTCCGTTCCTTTAAAAATAAAATTAATATTTTTAAGATTAAAAAAAAATAAAAATTAATTTAAAAAATTTTTTTTTTATTTTTAGACTGTCCGCAAATTTTTGTCCGCAAATCTATTTTTTAAAAATTTGTCCCAAGATTGAAAACGAAGACCAAAACAAAAATAAAAAAAAATTTTATTTGGGTAGGGGGATGTTTTGGCTAGAAAATTTATTTTAAGAAAAATTAGAATTAAAAAATTTTTTTTAAATTTGCGGACAAATATTTGCGGACACAAAAATTAAAAATCAAAAATAAATTTTAATTAAAAAAAATTGAAAAGAAACCTAAACTTAACAATAAAATAATGCAATCCATGCTCTGGTAAAGCTTCCCAATTTCTAATATATTGCAATTTTGCTTCAGAACAACTGAGGGTTTTGACATTTGAATGGGCATCGGAAATTCGATGTTGCAACTTTAAAATAAAAATTAATTTAGAGGAAAATTTCTAGAGAGGTCTGGAAGATTAAAGAGGAATATGAAACACCCAAAATTCAGGCTCTGGCATTTTCTAATGGTAAAATAAAAATTAATTCTAAGAATTTAAAAAAAGGAAGGACAGTGACCGTGTCCGCAAGATTTAAAATTCAAACAAAAAACATTTTTTTGAAGAAAATTTTAAATTATAGGGAGAACCCCCAAACTAACATAACTATAGGGGACTTATTTAGAAAATTAATAAATGTTAGGAATGCCAATCAAGACATTTTTTAAAATTTTTGGGGACCAAAATTGTGGAACCAGCCCAGTATAAAGTTAGTAAACTGATGCTCCCCACAAAAAATTAAAAAAAAATAATCAAGACTAATAATGGACTCTGCCTTGTCTCCCCCCTTAGCCAAAATTAGCCATAATTCAAAAAAAAATTTCAAAAATTAAAAAAAAACCAAAAAACAAACATTTCTGTTTCCGGTTCGACGAACATAACGTTGAGAGGCATATTCTTCTGTATTAAAATCTGGAGGTAATTGAACTGGTTGTCTAACTTTTCTTTTATCAACAGAACTTCCATTTTGTTGTTTGGCTCCTTAAAAATTTTTTTTCGAAAAATTTCTCAACAAAAATTTAAAAAAATTACTTCCAGCCTGCATCTGCAAAACTTTTTTAATTGATTCCATTTCAGAATTATACGAAGAATCGGCCATTGTTTTACCACGGGAAGCGAGACGACAAGCAGCCATCCACTTGGAAAATTGTTGTTCCTAGAAAAAGGAAAATAAAAAATTTGTTTCGGTATTAAAATCAAAAAAAAGTCCGCAAATTCAATCCGCATTTCCAAAATATTTTTTTAAATTCTTTTTCTGTCTTCAATTAATTTTTTAAAATCAATTGAAAGATATTAAAGACTATTAGGAATCTCAGAAAAGAAATAAAGAAAAAAATTTAAATTTAGTCTAAAAAATAAAATTTGCGGACTAAACTTGCGGACAAAAAAATTTTTTAAGAATTCCCCCACAAACCGTGTCACATTTCAAAATCATTTCAGTCATCCCTTCAGCACTTGGCAATTGTAATTTAATGTGGAATTTGCCTTGGGTCACACTCAATTCTTGAGTTACTTCACATCCTTTCATGTAATAATGACCAAGGGGAGGGCCTAAAAAAGAAATTTTTTGAATTTTTAACTTTAACAGAACCATTAGCATCCTGTGCAGAATTGTAGTAACTTAAATAGAGGTCACGAAACGTAAAATATGCACGTTTGAAATTGTTGAAACCGAGCTTTTTTGGTCTAAAAATAAAAAAAGAAATGATTTTATAAAAAAAATTGCGGACAAAACTTGCGGACAAAATTTGCGGACACAAAAAAACACCTCAAAAATTTGTGTCCGCAAGTTTATGAATTTTTCTTCTAAAGAATAATTTTTTTATAGTAAATCCAAAATTTATTTAATTAAAAAACCTTACTTTACATATTTTAAATATTCGGTCAATTCAGGCACATAAGTTAATTCTCTTCGACTTATAGAAGCAGCAGCATCCAAAGTTTGTTCCTTTAAAAATTTTTTTTCAAAATTTAAAAATAAAAAGAAAACCAATTCATCAAGCATAACATCAACTTCATCTCGTTCAGGCGATTCTCGTTCAGGTGTGTCTCTTTGAAGTGTTGCTTGTAGCTTTAAAAAAGATTAAATAATTATTAAAAAAATTAACTTAAAAATTCAAAAATGGCCCTTAAAAATGGAAAAAAATTTTTAAATAAGGTAGACCCAGGTCTAAACAATTTTTAAACGAAAATAGAGCAACTCAAAAAAGAGTATAACCATTGGGAGTCGAACCCTCACCCACTCTTAGGGTGAACCAAAACCACTAACCAATACACCACCACTCACATATCCTTCATCTCAATATAATGATATTTAATATTAACATAATATTAAATAAACCCTAAAAACCAAGGGAATACCCTCAAAAAATTTTTTCTAAAAATTTCCAAAGAAAATTCCAAACATAAAAATTCGAAATATAGAAACCTGTAAAGCAGCAAACAAAGCAGCCTCCTCTTCCGTATGTTCCACTTCCTCCAATAAAATAGACCACTTTGCTTGTTCGTATAATTGATTAATACGTACAGGGTCATATTTCAAATTTATATCAAAAAATGTAGCAAATTTAAATCGAAGCAAAACAGTTTCCCCTTCAAATATGCTTTGCTCCATTAATGAGCTAAGTTAAAAAAAATTTTCTTTAATTTTTTTCAAAAAAACCGTGAAGAATCAAGCCATCCTCTGTTTAATGCTGCCTTTTCCAAATAATTTTGAGGCTTAAAAGAATCACGGCTAGGCACAATTTTGGGCGAATTTATTAAATTGTGGTCGAAAAAATCGTCTTCGAGGCCTAGAATTTTTTAAAAAATTTTTAGAAATTTTTTTGGAAACCTTCACTAAATCCGGGTTCAGGTGTTCTTCCAAGAGCTTCACGATACTTTAAAATTAATTTGAATAAATTTAAAAAATAATAGAAAATACAGCAGCAGGTCCAGGACTCATTCCTCGAGGCAGCGTTCCAGGTTTAGGCAATGTACCAATTTCTGAAGCCTAAAAATTGATAAGAAAAAAATTTCCTTGAAAAGGTTAATTTTAAATAATTGGACTTCTCTCTAAAATACATCCTCTTAAAATAGTCTTTTTAATCTAGTTTCCATGGGAGAGAGGTGCCAGGATGTTTAAGGTAAGCACCAAGGATATACGGCCCAAAACCCGACCCAAGAAAATTTTCCAAAACATAAACGACTTTTTCCCTTCTTAATCCCTCTACTGACCCGACCCAAGATCCCGACTTTTTTCAACTCGAAACCCGACCCAGACTCTTTTCTCAACCCGTGACATCCCTGGGTAAGCACAACTTTTTTAAGGTGATACTCCTTTAAGGTACCCCTTCCTTAAAATTTTTTCCAACCCCAAGGAGTGTTCTTATAGCGAGGTTCTCTCATTTAATTAAAAAAATTAAAAAATAAACGTTAAAAGGATGTCCAGGCCCCATAGCAGCAGCACCAGAAACAGGCGATCCTCTCCCTCCACTTAAATTCATTGTGGATGCTCTAATCGGTTTTGCAGTTCTCAACGTTCCAGGTCCAATAGATTCTTCTCCCGGCTTCATATAAGGTTGTATATGTTGATCTGCCTCAACATGGGCCCCTTTACGTAAAATATCTGTTGGAATATCGCGTTTAATTGATAATTCTTCTGGGTGGCGAATTCCTAATTCCTGGCACAATTTTTGTGTGACTTTGAGTACTGGCACAGAAAAGTCTAGACGAGCGTCTAAAATCTGAAAAGAAAATTATTTAATTAAAAAACAAAAAAATATCATAAAAAATTGTAAAAAACTTTTAGAAATAATCAGAAAAATTTTTTAAGTCAAAAACCAACTCAAACCACAAAAATAAATTTAAAAATATTTTTAGAAAAAATTCTAAAGCTAAAGAAAAAAAGTTGCATTCGAACCCATAACCTCCTCCACCACAAACCAGCCACCCTAACCACTCGGCCACTGAGAACTCATAAACACAACGATTAATTAAAGGCTATATCCTTAATAAAATTAAAATAGATAACCTGTCTATCGGGCAACTCCACTCTTTAAAAAAAACAAAAATAACTTTCAAAAAATATTTTCTAGAAAACCTCGCAGGTTTATGCATCGGTGTAAACTCCAAAAATGTTGTAGCAGTAACTCCAATTTGATCCAAAGTGCTTCTTGTATGTTTAAGCCATTTTCGTCTGTCAGGCCACCAAATTGCGTGATCACTCCAATCTTGATTTTCTTCTGAAAAAATTTTTTTTTGAAAATTTCAATTAAAAAATAAAATTAAAAACCCATTTGTTCAACCAATTGCATCATTAAATTTCCAATTGTCAAGTCTCCTCTAACCAATATATCCTTTGATTTGTTTAGATCGGTAATGAATATTCCCAATTTCCATTTGGCGTCATTCACAACAAAACCATCTTGAATTAAATGAGCCATTTTTTAGAAAGACTTGAACTTCAAAGAAGAATTTTACAAAATCTAAAAAATATTTTAAAAATATTTAAATTAAAAAATAATCAAAATCTAAAAAAATTTTCTTCTAAAATCGCGACATAAAATCCAAAAATATCATTAAATCTCCTCTAAAAAGCACTAAAAATAATTTAAAGATAAGTAAAATAAAAATGTCTTACCTAAAGCCCCAAAAAACGTGTTAGAAAACATAACAAAAATAAAAAACACTCAAAGGATTCGAACCCAGCAGGTGTTCCCAACAAGCCCAACACCTTACCCACTACACCACCGACAACACATCTTCAAATTAAATTTTTAGGAACTCATACTCTTTAAAAATATCTTTTAATTTAATTAACCCACTAATGGCGTCAAATTAATTTTAGAAAATGACCAGAAAAAAATATTTTCATCATACTACAAAAAGAGAAACACTAAAAAGATTAAAAAAAAGATTAAAAATAAAATAAATTAGCAAAATTAAAAACTGAAAAAAAATCAAAAAAAAAATTCCTTACACAAACAACAAAACAAAAATACACTAAAAACTATTAAATAATTCACAAGTGAAAAAAAAAATTTTTTTAAAGGAAGCAACAGCCACCCTTCTATTTATTTTTATTTTTCTCTCTACGGACTCCTCTTCCCAATCGATTAAAAAAAATTTTTTTTGTTTTGCTGTTGTGTTGTGTGTTAAAAGGAGTTTAAACATTGGGGGAGAGTCTTCTCGTTTTACTAGGGACGAGGAAACATTTGTTACTTTTTTTCTTAAAAATATTTTTAAGACAACTAAAAATCCCCACAATTAAAAATCCCCCACAAAATCCCCCATAAAAACCTTTTTAATTACTAAAGGGGACACTAGAGTCTAGAACATTTTCTAGTTGGGTACAACCCAAAACGGCGCGCGGCCATAACGGCGCAAAACCATAACTTGCTAGAAAATGCCTAATCTTACCAAATTTGGTATTAAACGATTCCTCTCATCGAGCTAAAGAGAATGGTACAAAAAAGGATAAGGGCCAGAAAGTTTCCAGTAAGTTATGGCTTTGCGCCGTTATGGCCGTGCGCCGATTTGGGCTGTCCCGTTTTCTCCCCCATTTCCCCCTATTTTTCAAAAATTCCAAAAATTTTCAAAAAATTTTTTAGAGCCTATAAGGATTACTTAATTATCTATTCTTCATCTATTTATACAAAAAAGACGAATCTAATTTTTCAAAAATGGTTGGAACTCCAGTATTTCTTAATGTATACGACATGTATTGGTTAAATGATTATGCTTTTGGGTTAGGCGTTGGTGTTTTTCATAGTGGAATTGAAGTTCATAATATTGGTTTGTAATTTTATTTTTAACTTTAAAATCATCAAAATTGAGAATTTTGTTAATATTGAGTAGAAAATAATTAAGAAAAAAATATTTCCCCCCGAGCGGGTTCGAACCCATGACCCCCCTCCATCCCACCTTTAAAGTCGTAAACAGCATTTTTAAAATGCCTTCCATTAAAGAAATTATTTTTCAACCTTAGAATCATCAAAATTGAAAATTCTATTTAAATTGAGTAAAAACAATCAAGAAAAAAATGATTTTCCCCGAGCGGGTTCGAACCCACGACCCCTCAATGTCCTCCATCCACAAAACCTCCTCAATCCGCAAATAGAAACAATTAAGATTATTATCTTCCATAATATTCTAAACAAAATTTCCCCCTTATTTTCTCATCTCCCCAACTATTATATTTACTCCATAAAATCAAAATTCAAATTTTCTTCTTTTCAAAGAATATTCCTATGGAGGCCATCCCTTCCCCCTGTCCGGAATATTTGAAAATTCTCCAAAAGATCCAGACGAACTTGGAGACAATTTTAAATTCAGGTTTACTTTTAAATTTTTAATTAATTTTTAAAATTTATTTTTAAAGAGAAAGTATTCATCTAGGAGAAACAGATTTTTCTCCCGAAGACGTTCAGAAAATTATTCGACAAATGGGGAATGAATATCAAGGGGACAAATACCATTTGATTTCGAAGAATTGTAATCACTTTAGTAATCAGCTTAGCAAAGTTAGTTCTTTTATTTTTAAAATAAGAAAATCAAATTTCATTAAATCCGGTTCCTGTCCGCAACTTTTTTTGCGGACGTCCGCAACTTTTTGCGGATTATCCGCAAATTTTTTTGCGGACAACTTTCACCCAGTTTTTTTCCCAAATTAATCCTTCTCCCCAAAAATACTTTAAAAATACTACATTTTTAGACACTTACCGGAAAAGAATTACCTTCATGGATCAACAGATTAGCAAATATTTCAGGTTCATTCCCCTTTATCGAGCGCTGGATACCTGCGGTTTGTTCAAAAAAAAATTTTTTTCTTTTTCCTCAGAAAAAAAATATAATTTTTAGGAGTGGCTAACCCCAATAGCTTTACAACAAAAATTAAATACTAGTCGAAATGGGAGTTTGTCAACTTCTACTGCAAATAATTCAACTAACCCTCCTCCTCAACGTGTAGTTTCTCAAACCACAATTAATACTACGAGATTGAGGACTAATAGTGAAGATGCTAATGGTGGGGGCGAGAAACTTTCTAATAGTAAGAAAACATTTTTTAAACAAAAAAATTTTTTAATTCAAATTTTGTCCGCAAATTTTTAGCGGATTGTCCGCATTTTTTTGCGGACAAAAAATTTTGTCCGCAAAAAAATTTTTTTTTGTCCGCAAAAATTTTTTCGTTCTTTCAGCAAAATCTACTACTACACAAGCATCAAGATGGGGTTGGTTTCAGCGCAAAAATCCAACAGAAAATAATAACAATACTTCTTCCGCCCCTGTTACAGCAAGACAAACAAATAATTTGAATAATCAACAAGCTGGACTTTCGCGTTTTTGGGGTTCATTAAAATCGAAAGAAAATGGAACTTCTTCCTCCACTCAATCAAATACCCAACAAGACTGAATGAATAATAAAAAAATTTTCCAAAATTTTCGGTATGACTCGTAATGCCAAAAACGCCGAAATACCAAACTGCCTCTTAATGGAGAGGGTTTGGAGGTTTTTCTGATACCTCGGAGTCCGAACAGCCCCATAACCGGCGGCTTATAGAGGATGGTTTTTTTTTATAGTTCGGCGTCTTTTTTCTCCCCTGTTTAGCATTTCGACGATTTTTCAGTTTGTTTGGTATTTCGGCGTTTTTTTCCGAGACTTCCCCTTCCTTTGATTAATTCCCTTCTCCCTCAATAAAAATATCCTTCCTCATCAATCACTTTTTTTTATTTAATAACTTGTTCAAATTCCTTGAGACTTTTATTTTAAATTGTAATTTTTTGTGGCTCTCTCGATTCTTTAAAATAATAAAAATATATACTTATGTAAATAAAAAAATTTGTGTATTTCTGTGAGACTTTTTATAGTCCTATCACATCAAAAGACAGCTATTTTCTATACAAAAAATTTTTAAAATTGTGTATTAAAACGATTCTAATATCAATTTTTAGAGAGGCGTTAGTGTGTTTTCTAAATGAAGTAAGGGAATTCTTGTTGAGAACTACCCAGAGCCTATAAATCCAAACCCTTTGGTTTTTTATCCGCAAGTTTTTTTCGGACAAAATTTAAAAGATGTGTTATCTCACCAAGTCTAGTCCACAAATTAAATTGGGCATGTTTGGGGGCACCTAGGCCGACGTCGTCGCCTATCCTTACAATTAATCATTCTTGCCTATTGACAACTTTGTCATTCTTGTATTTAAAACGTGTTATTCTATTCGTATGTTATTCTGTTTGGTAATAGATAAGACCTCACCCTAGGACATAAAAGTTCGCAAATTAATTGCGAACTTTAAGAAAATATAAAAAGCACTCAAAATCGTTTCTTAAAAATTTTTTTAATTTTCTACCCCGTTCTACCCCCAATTTAATAAAAATTTCTATTTTCTACCGAAAATTTTTCCAAAAAAAATTTTTCAAAAAATTTTTTTTCCAAAAACAAATTTTTTTTTCTCAAGACATAACAACAATTTTCATTTCTTTTTTTTTAACAAAATTTTTTCACCTTAATACTTTCCTTTCTCTTTTCATAAAAAACCTCTCTTTGTTTACCAGCCACTATCTCCAGTCGTAAAATTTCCTCCATCGTCACCTCCTTGCGGCTCCTGTGGTGGCGGTGTCGGAACTGAAGTTGGCGGCCCTCCACGACCAAATCCTTGACGAACAGGCATAGAGCCAGGTCCAGCATCTGCTTGCTTATCACCCATTGTACGATAAGCTCCACGATCGTCGCCACCAGAACGAAAACCTTTGAAATTTATTTTATTGAATTTTTTTGATTGAATTCGAAGTTGGTTAAACCACAACCTAGATTTTGGGGTGAAATTTAATTGCTTGACTAATTTCTAGAAATAAGGGAAGGAAAATAACCTATTAAAAAATTCACGTGTGCTATGACTCCGGACATTTTGTCACAAAAGCCTTAATACTTCAATGGGTCAATTAGAGATAGTGAAGAGACTGGTTTGACTAGAACGGATCCTAGGTCGGTCAGAGTAAAAGAAGGAAGCAAATAAAAAAAGGCCCATATCCAAAAAAAACCCCCAGACTGACCCATATTTAACTCGACCTTTAAACTACGCCAAAGTCACTAAACTTATTGAAAGGGTAGGGCGTCTGAACTAGAGATCGAGATTTTTGAAAAGCCTGGACCTGTTCCTAGACTCTGGAGTTGATTTCCTGACCTGGATCCTGGGCCTGTAGTCCAGGAAAAACCCAGGAAGGTCAAAAAATGCCTGGACCTGGACTCTGTGTACAGGAAAAACCCAGGCCTTGGTCCAGGTCCAGCTCGATCTCTAGCCTAAACCCATTGTCTTCCATCATCACCCCTACCCTAAATTTATCAACCCTCTCCCCTAATTTAACTAAAAAACTTTAAAAAACCTCGTCCTGCACCTCCACCTCCCATCTTATCCGGATACGACATTCTCGAAGGCTCAGTACGCTGTTTATGCGTATTTGGCAAAACATCTTCGGGCAAGCCAAGATATTCACGCAAATAAGGAACACCGTCCTCTTTCAAATAAAAGTAGTAATGGCGCCAAGCATACTTTGAAAATATTTTTAATAAAAGAAAATTTAAAAGAAAACCTGTTCTCTAACAAGGCCTTTAGATGTCAAACTCTAAAATTAAAAAAAATTTTTATATCGAACAGAAAAAAGTGAAACGAGAGTAGAGGAGGGCACACCCCAACCTACCGCCGAGCTGTAACTTCGTTCAAAATTATCAAATCCAGAACGCCTTGGTATGGTTCAATGCGGCTCGACGAGCTGAATCGAACCATAACAGGGCGTCTCGACAATTATGAACGAAGTTATAAAACGGCTGTAGGTTAGCCTCATGGTAGGTTGGCCTGCACCACTAGAGGACCTAATAAGTACTGAAAGTCAGGTCATGGACAATGAGGATATAAAAAGAAAAGGAAGGGTAAAAGGACAGGTTACAGCCAGTCTTCCGCTGAGCTTTTGATAAATTGACCAAAAAGTTTCCTATTAACTATAAATTTTGGCCAAATTCGGGTCCTCTGGGTCCCTGTCCGAACATCCAAACCAAGATCCTAGGCACGGGATCTTCTTAAAGTCCTCGATACTATTACTAACGGCCAGGCTTTTTAGCAACTTCAGACCTTATTAAACTCCAAAAATTTACCCCAATAAAACAAACCTTAAGTGCTTTAATCACATACAAATTGCGAACACCCTTAATTTCCGGATGCGACTTAGAGACGTAATCCTTCTTTGCAATACACACTCCATCTTCAAACAAATGTTCATAAATCTTTTTTCTGTCAGCTTGTGGAATTAACATTATGTTGAAAAAATACAAGAAATCTCTTTAAATTATCTGAAAAATTAATAATTAATTCGAGAAATCCCCAAAAAACTCCCCCAAAAACCCCCAAAAACCGTACTCTACAGTTTCTATTTTTACTCTTTTTCTCTTCCCCTTATAGTCTCTCGTCTTTCATTGTGTTAAAAATCATTTTTGCCAAAGGACTTTTATTTTTTCACTTCACCAAAAGACAAAATGCCCATTGGCTTATTTTTCGCATATTGTCTAAGGGAACCTGGGGAACTTGAGTTTATAAAAAGCCTGAGTTTATAAAAAGTTGAAGTTGGAACTTGAATTTTCTTTAATATTTTTTAATGCGCATTTTAAAGAAAAACAAAAAAGGGAAAAAAAAATATTTTCAAAAATTAAAATAAAAAAAATATGTAAAGTATATATATTGTACATATACGTTAATTAAAACATAGTAGCAAAATTATATAAAAAAAAAATAATAACATTTTCTCCCATCACAACAAAAATTACTTTTGCAATAAAAAAAAAATTAAAAAAAATTTTTAAAAATTGTGTTACAAAGAAAACTGAAGCAAAGAAAAGGATTTTTATGAAAAAAAGCAGCAAATTATATTTTTAATAAAAAAAATTTTTTTTTGAAAGGGTTAAGGGTTTTTGTGTAAACTTTTTTTTTTCTTGCTTGAAAATGAGAATTAAAATATAAAAACATTCTTTTTTAAAAATAAAACAGAGAAAAAGAAGTTTGTAAAAATTAAAAAGTATTAAAAAAAGTTGCATATAATTAGAGAGACAGTTTACCAAAAACACATAAATATAATTGTAAAAACATTTTTTACAAATTGTAAAAAGTTTTTGTTTGTTTAATGTTTTTACACCTTGTTTTAAAATAAACTTGTTTTAGAAACTTGTTTTTAAATAAACTTGTTTATTTAAAAAATAAACTTGTTTTTGAACAAACATGTTTTAAGAAATATAAGAACTTGTTTTTAAATAAACTTGTTTATTTAAAAAATAAACTTGTTTTTGAACAAACATGTTTTAAGAAATATAAGAACTTGTTTTTAAATAAACTTGTTTTTAAACAAACTTGTTTTTAAAAACAATTTTTATAAATTCATATAAATATATGTTTGTTTTGTTTGTTTGTACGAACTTGTTTTTTTTTTGTTTTTTCCCCGCAAACATTTGTTTTTAAACAATTTATTTTGTTTTTCTTTTTAATGTTTGTGCAACAAATTAAAGGTTTAACTCTTGCGCGATTTTTGAAGCAATGTTTTTAAAGCCAATGGATGTTCCAGAAATTCCTTCAAAAATTATTTTAAAAATTTTTTAAAATTTTTTAACAACTAACGCTTAAATCTGACTCCATTCAAACTAAGACGAGGCAACTTGCATACCTTTAAAAAAAATTTTTTTCATTAGAAAAATCATTTTTCCCTTAAATCACCTCCATTTCCCACTGAACAAGTGTGTCCTTTTGTGGATCCCCATGCATACAAAGAAGCAAATATCGTTCCCTTTGTTCATATTCACACCCGTTATTGTCCAAAACCTTGCGGATTTCTCTGAAAAAAAAATTTTTTTGTTTAAAAAAATTTTTTTTAATTAAAAAATTTTTTTTTCTCAGACTTGATAATTTCATCAGGTGCCAATGAACTTGTAGTTTTCATTGACCAAGTAAAACGCAAAGAGCGCGGTTTAACTTCTTCTCCTCCACCACTAATTGCTTCACCGCTTGGACTATTTTGTCCGTCAGTTTCAAATAATTTTTGGAGGCATTGTTGTTGTTGCTGTTGGGCCTTTAGAAATATTTTTCGGTAAAAATAAAAAAAATTTTTTAGTCAACCTGATTAGGGGTATTCGGAGCAGAAAAAGCAGCTTGTTGTTGCTGTTGGTGTTGCAAAAATTGTTGATGTTGGGCGGCTAAAGCTGCGCCCGTGGATGGACCTAACAATATTTTTTAAATTAAAATAACGTACTAAACGTCCACTTAGAATAAGCAAAATAATTCTGATGTTTACGGAAAGTTTTAATATTAAAATTCTGATTTTTTTCGAATGTTTGTATTAAATTCTGATTTGTTTTGTTTTAAAAGATGTTTAGGTCAATTAAATTCTGATTTTTTTCGTTTCCGGAATGTTCAGATTAAATTCTGATTTGCTTATTTACAGTTGAGAGTGTTTAAATTAATTTCTGGTTTTTCGATTAAATTCTGATTTGTTATTTAGAAAGATGTTTAAATTAAATTCTGATTTTTCGATTAAATTCTGATTTTTTTCAGAATGTTTAAATTAAATTCTGATTTTTTTCAGAATGTTTAAATTAAATTCTGATTTATTTGTTTTAAAAGATGTTTAAATTAAATTCTGATTTCTTAGGAATGTTCAAATTATATTCTGATTTTTTCGGAATGTTTAGATTAAATTCTGATTTATTTGTTTTAAAAGATGTTTAGATTAAATTCTGATTTTTCGGTATGTTTAAATTAAATTCTGATTATAAATTAAATTACAACAACAACCTATTGTTCCAGCTCTCCCAACAGCATGTTGATTATGTTTATTATTTGTAGTATTTAAAGGTGGTTGAGGGTGTTGTTGTTGTTGTTGATGTGTTGCTTGTATTACTGGAGAAGTTTGTTGATGATGAATCTGTGGTGGTGGTTGTGCATATATCGATGACTGATGATCTGTTGGTCCAGTCCCCCTTAGAATTGAGAAGAGGGAAGTGATTTTTCTAGAAAGTTTTGAGTAAACGGAAAGAGAAATTAAACTGAAATTTGGTCTAAAAGTGGAACAGAGACACTAAAATAATTTTTTGAATTAAATAATTTCTCTTCCTTCCTATTTTAACTATTTTTAATTAAATATATATTGCTCTAAGCTAATTATTAAAGCTACCTTTTTGTTAATTTTGTCAATTTGGAAAGAAAGGAACCGCGTTGTTGTTGATGCTGATGATACTGACTAGTAGGCATTGTTCCCCCACCGCTTGATGAAGGAATAGGACCAATTGTTAATGCATTAGCTTCTTCAATCTCGGACTCATTTGCTCCTATTGCAGACGCATCGTCTTCAGTAAAGGCACCTTAATGTTTTACAAACTTGTTTTTAAATTAATAAAACTTGTTTTTAATATGTTTGTTTTGTGCAAATAAGTTTGCAAACTTGAATTTTTAAGTTTAATTAATTTAAGTGTTTTGCAAACTTGTTTTTAATATTCGCAATGTTTTATTAAAAGAAATAAGTTGGCGAAAACAAACAAAACAAAATAAAAATGTTTTGCAAACTTGTTTTTGTTAAACTTGTTTTGAATAAGTTTGCAAACTTGAATTTCCAAGTTTAATTAATTTAGATGTTTTGCAAACTTGTTTTTAATATTCGCAATGTTTTAGTTATAAGAAACAAGTTGGCGAAAACAAATAAAATAAACATGTTTTTCAAACATGGATTTTCAAGTTTAATTAATTTAGATGTTTTGCAAACTTGTTTTAAAATAAACTTGTTGCCTATAAATCTGAACAAGTTGTAAACTTTAATTTAATTGCATAAACTTTGTTTACAACATGTTTGAATTAAATCCATGTTGCAAACTTTTAAAAACATTCAAAGAAAGGTTATAAAAACATACCAGAACCAATACAACTACCCTTGTTGTATTCAGTTTTGCCATGAAATGTTTGTCTGTTGCGCGAACCACGCGGAAAATTACTATTACTACTGTTGTTGCTAGTGTTGCTAGAGTTTGTAGTGTTTTGTTGGAGAAGGCCAAACATTGTTTGTGAATTTTCCATTTGTTGTTGTTGCTGTTGTTGATTGAAAGGTTGTTGAACTCCGTGATGAAGTTGAGTGTTCATTGGAGAAATATGAGTTCCTGTAGCAGATTTTGTCATTTTAGAGGAATATTCATTTGTTTCTCCTCCCCCTCCTATTGTTGTTCCTCCCAATTCTGCTGCTGCTGCGCTCAACAAAGTTTTCATCATAATTGGAGGCATTGATGGACTCTGATGTAGACCAAGGCACCTACAACAAGAAAAAATTTTGTTCGTAGAAAAATGTTTGATGTTTTGATTTTGAAACTTGTTTAATTAAAACTTGTTTGTTGTTATTAAAAACAAGTTTGTTCAAACAATGTTTGATTAAAACACGGTGTTTAAACAAGTTCATTTAGCCAATGTTTGATTAAAACTTGTCGTTAAAACTTGTTTGTTTTAAACAAACTTGTTTTTAATAAACCATGTTTTTAATAAACTTGTTTTTAATAAAACATGTTTTTAAGTTTGTAACTTGTGTTTAACATGTTTTTAAAACTTGTTTGTTTTATTAAAAACAAGTTGCAAACATTTTTTTCAGTTTGTGAAAATTAGAAAGTACAACAAAACCACCACCAACAAACAAAACATCAACACAACAACAAAGGAGTAATTTATAAAATAAACAAATGTTTTTGATCGAAGAAAAATGGGGGAAAACAAGAAGACAAACATCAAAATAATTAAAGTTGGTATCAAAACATTTTTTAGAAGAATGTTATGGGGTGTAAAAATAATTTCAACTAAAATTCAAAACAAAGAAATTTTTTTACTACAAAGAAAAAAAATTCTAAATTATTGTCAGATAATCTGCTATAAATTTAATTATTTTATTCCTAAAGAAAACTAAAAACACAAAAAAAACCAAACAAAAAAAACTAAAATTTTAAGCAAAAAATTTTTATGCAAGGATCACTAAAAAGCAGATCAGCAAACAAAAAAATTTAAAATAAAGAACCAAATTTATATAGTATAAATTCAAGTGTGCAAGGCAAGTTAAAAGAGAAAATAAAGGCCGTGTTACAATAAATTAAAAAAAAAAATATATGGCCAAAAGAAAAATAAAATAAAATGGAAATGTTAAATAGGTAGATAGGGGTAGATAATATTTTCAAAAATATATTTTTCAAATAAAGAAAATATATTTTTAAAATACATATAGTAGATAATATGTAGTATATATAAAAAATAAATTTTTTTGTGTAATGCCAAAAATAAGAGCCCGGATTAAATTTTATAACAGCAACAATGTGCCAATTTTTAAGAAATGTTATGTGGACAAAAAAAATTATTTTTTTGTGAACGAAAAAATATTCTGGAGTGAAAAAAAATTTTTTGGAGACGAAAAAAAATTTTTTTTTCGGAAGAAAAATTTTTTGGAGATGAAAAAAAAAAATTTTAAAGACGGAAAAAAAATTTTTAAAGACGAAAAAAAATTTTAAAGACGGAAAAAAATTTTTTTTCGTGGTCTTAATTTCTTCTAGCTTAAAAAGAATATTGAAACTCAATTTAAAAAATAGTCTACTTTTTCCAAAAAAAAATAAATAAAATCTGGGCTCTAAAAAACAAAAAAATTTTCAAAAATAAAAAAAAAAGAAGCAAAATATAGGTAGGTTATATATATATTTCATTTTAATGATAAATTTTAAAACGGAAAAAAAAAAATTTTTTTTCTCTCAAATATTCTTCGAACCATCTCCCTCTCTCACTCCCTCTATTAAAATTTAAAGGAACACCCTAATACCCTTTTTAAAAAAAATATTTATTTTTGTTTTTTCCCTTACGCGAAATCAGAAGCCATTCCAGCAGCAACAGTTGATGATTGATTTGATTGTTGTTGTTGTTGTTGTTGACCACCACCACCACGTTCAGTCATTGGTCTTGGAGAAGTTAACATAAATTCTGTATCATTAATGCATTTATCTGTAGCAGAGGCACCATCATCAAAAGATAAACGTCCACCACTTCGAATAAGTGGAGGTATTACTATTGGTGGTGGAGGAACTAAAAAAAAAATAAATAAAATAAAATTTGGAGAGACTTTATATATGTAGAAAAATTTTTGTAAAGAAAAATTTCAAATAGGAAGGAAAAAAAGTTTGCTCCACAAAAATCTTATCCCATTACCAGTAAGGAAACATCAACATAAGCCAAAACAAAAATTTTTTTTTGATGTCACCATCCCTCTAATAGTTTATTTTTTTCCAAAAAATGGGAGGGAGAAGGGGGTAGTGTCCTAAACCAATAATAGGATTGATCCCCGACGGAGAGAGGGACATGGTGAACAATTTTCGGGCAGGCAGCAACACAGGGAGGGGGGACGGGGAACAATTTTATACTGGGAAATTTCAGGGAATCAAAATTATTTTGGCGCCTACGCGCGCGCTTTCGGAGACGGAAACCAACCCTAACCAGTAACATTTATAAAAAATATATAAAAATAGAATATACCAGTTGTTGAAATTGTTGCAGTAGGTGCAATTATAGGTTGTTTAGTTCCATGCACTGGAGGCGTTTTACGACTTGAAGATGACCGTTCATCTTCATCCTCTTTAATAGAAGGTTCCCGCGGTGCATGAGAAACGCTCTTCTTAAACAAAAAAAAATTCTCAGAAAATTTTGCCAAAATTTTTCAAAATAAACCTGCATAGCAGAAGAAACAATTCCTCCTCCACCTCCACAACCAGGAACAACATAACCTCCTCCAGTTGTTGCTTTTGCAACCAATTTTGCTGATAAAGGATTACTTGCTGATGCATTATAAAAACCTGGTGGAGCTCTTGTTATAGAGGATGAATTATTTGAACCATTAGAAATGTTTTTGCTAAAAAATAAAAAAAAATTTTTTTGATTAAAAAAATAGCCAATAAAATGAAAACGAAAATTAATTTTCAAAACGTTCAAAAAAAAAATTTTTTTTTTATTTGATCGGGGCTCTAGTCTAGTTTTTATAAGTCTAGTAAATTTATACCAGTACAAATAAAAACCTAAAAATTATCAAAAACAAATGTCGGGGCTAACACCCTACACTGTGTTTCAAAAGTATACGCGCACCTAAATTTTTGATTTTTCTGTCATTAATACTTATGTAAATATCTTCTAGATTTTTTATAATATATACAGGAACTAAACAAGAAGATCCATGGACAATTTCCCCAAAAAATTCAATAATTTATTTTTATTTTTAATTTTTTCCCAAAATAGGGTGTTTCATAAGTATACGCGCACTTATATAACTAAAGATTTTCGACATTAGGGATGGTTCGAAAAATCCACAAAAATTTCTGTAAACATATCAAGTGATATTGAAGCAAAATACAAAAGAAAGGAAGTTCGAGTCATGTCCCATCACCGAGATTTAAAAACCCAAAAATCAACGGAAAACCGAGGTAAATGTCTTTAAAAAATATTTTCGACCCCTTATAGGTCAGATAAAAATTTAATTTTGGGCTTATTTGAAAGCCCTTGAAATTTGCTACAGGATATTTTTCATCTCATATTCTAGAAAAAAATTTTCTTTGAGAAATAATGAGTTTAGTTTATAAGTTACATTTTCATCACTTTTTGGGGGACGTTTGAGTGATTTTGGTGACTTGAAAGTTTATCACATGTTATGTCTTAAATTGAATTTTTTCGGAAAATAAGATTCATTCTATCTTATAGCAAATTTCAAGGGCTTTCAAATAAGCCCAAAATAAAATTTTTATATCACCTGTAAGGGGTCGTAAATATTTTTTAAAGACGTCTACATCGGTTTTCCGTTGATTTTTGGGTTTTTAAATCTCGGTGATGGGACATGACTCGAACTTCCTTTCTTTTGTATTTTGCTTCAATATCACTTGATATGTTTACAGAAATTTTTGTGGATTTTTCGAACCATCCCTAATGTCGAAAATCTTTAGTTATATAAGTGCGCGTATACTTATGAAACACCCTATTTTGGGAAAAAATTAAAAATAAAAATAAATTATTGAATTTTTTGGGGAAATTGTCCATGGATCTTCTTGTTTAGTTCCTTTATATATTACAAAAAAATTTAGAAGATATTTACATAAGTATTAATGACAGAAAAATCAAAAATTTAGGTGCGCGTATACTTTTGAAACACAGTGTATTTACAACCCCATATTTATAACCAAAAACAAGATCATAGCCGCAAAAAAAAAAGTTTTTCAAATCCTTTGAGATAATTAAAAAAAAAAAGAAAACAATTCTTAAGAAAAATTTAAAACAACAAAAGACTCATTTATTGCAAACCGATTTTGTTGATGAGCAGCAGCAGCAACAGAATTGTTTGCTGGTACAATTTGTTGTTGTTGTTGTTGAATACCCGTACGCAATCCCAAATTTGGAAGAGGTACACGTCCACCTGGAGCTGAACCTTTTCGATGATTTCCTGAAGCAACAACTGTACCAGCACCTGCTGGTAAATTACGAACATTTGCATTTTGGATTGGATGAATATAGGCTGGAGAAGCTTAAAAAACATGAGGAAAAATTAATTGAGGTTAATCTAAAAATTTAAATAAAAAAGGTAAAAGATGAGAAAATTTGGCTGTGATTCGATATACAAGTCCCAAAAAACGTCATCTAGTTGAAGATAACCAAGCCTCAAGTCTGAGTGATTCACAACTCAAAAAGAACGTTAAAAAACTCAAATCCCAACTTTGAGAACAGAAAATCACCCCAAGTCTCAAGTCTGACCATAAATTCAGAACCCAAAGAAACCCCCAACAAAAGTTTACGTTCCGAATAAAAAAAAAGTTTGCAAAAGTTTAGCGACCGGGCGAACAACATCTGCTAGTTGTTGCTAGGCGCTTTCGATCACAATATGCATGTGCTCTACCTCTGAGCGCATCGACTGATGCTTTCTCTTTTTCCTTTTTTTAGATCGTTTGACCCCCACTTAAGCGCTTTAAAAGCTGCGCTAAGTGAAAGTCCGGATATCCAGGGATTTACGAGGATCCGCAGCCCAAAACCCAATAAAAACAAAAAAAAATCAAATGATATGGAACAAAGAAATCATCAAAGGACACCCACAAACTCAACAAGATCCCTACAAAAAAATATTTTATATTCACACAAACCTAATGGTTGAACACTTAAAGCAGGCTGCCGACCACTCGTTACACCTCCAAAAGCAGCATTACGAAAGGCAACTTGTTGCTGCTGTTGTTGTTGTACAGCATTTTGTTGTGCTCTCATAGCTGCTACTGATAAATTTGCAGCTTGAGGGGGCTGAGTAGAGGGTGGAGGAGGCATTATATTCGTATTTGAAGGAGTTGTTGTTGTCACAGCATTATTAGGTTCTACAACAGCAATTGGTGGAACAGCTTGAAGTTGATCAGCATTAGAAGATGCACGCCTTGTATTTTTAGAAGCTGAAGTTTGGACAGAAGTGTAGGGACGTTGAGGATACTAAAAAAAATTTTGTTGATTTAAACAAAGAATAAATTACTTCAAGTAAGGGATGGCTTTTCGAATCGGGAGTCGGAGCAAAAAAAAAAGCCAAAAACTTCGATAGGTTATCGAAGATGTTCTACAAGATGGTATAATTTTTATAAAAAAAATTTCTATTCACAGTTCTAAAGGTTCCCTTGTGAAAAAAAGCCCGTGTTCGGGTAAAAAAAAATTCCAGGTTTCGTATCTGAAGTCAATTCTCCTCACACCCTCATACTTGATTCTCGAAAACCCAAAATTTCAAAATAAAAACAAAGGTGTAACAGCCCCCAACTTCCGATGACCTCTCCTTAACAACGTTGGGAGGGGTTTGTATACAAATTGACAAGGTTTCTGACATTGGGGTCTCTTTCTTGCTAAAATCCCTAAAAACACTCCGACATACAAAAATACAATCACATGCCACCTTTTGAGGTTTCTGCCAATAAACTCGACAGAGTTTCCAATAATGGAAATTTTCCTACTAAAATCCCCCCAAAAAAATTTTTTACACAAACCTGACCAGTCGACCCCATTGATTGATTAAAAGGAAGATTATCTGCCGCAGACGCAGTAACAACATTTCCACCACCACCTCCACCAGCCGCAGAAGAAATGCTTCCTTCTTGATGATGCTGAACTCCTTGAACTTGTTGTTGCTGTTGTTGTTGTTGTGCAGACTGCTGCTGTTGTTGCAATTGTTGTTTTTTAGCTTCTTTTAATAGCAAGTATGTCCCATAAATTTCATCAAATTTTTCACATTCCAAAGATTCATGGATTGCTTGTAAAGTATATCCAAAAACTTGTAATTTTAATATTCTTCTTTCATCCCTAACATCTTTTGTTGGTTCTGTATATGGTCTCAATTCTTCTTCTTCATAACCCATATTCATCCATTTATCACGCATTATTGTTTCTAATGTTCCACGTCTTGCAGGGTTTAAAACGAGGAATTTTTTGACAAGATTTTCGCAATCTAAATGAAATAAAAAAGTTTGAGAATTTTTTATAAATACGACGGAATTTGAGGGCTTAAACACATTCAAAACGCCAAAGGCGCACCTCCTCCATTTTAGCTACCCTGAACTTGACAACACTCACATCAGGCTAGGGACACGCACACAAAACAACGCGCGGCCATAACAACGCAAAGCCATAACTAGCCGGAAATTTTCCGGCTAGTTATAAATTTTCCGGCCCTCTGGCTACGCCCTTGACGGAATTTAAAATCGAAGCTATGGCAAGAGTTTTATACTTAAAAAAGCGTATCCGGAGAGGATTTCAGGGGGCTATAATGAATATCCAGACTCCTAGAACGGTTAGGCATTCATGTGGTCGAAAAAAAGCAAAATAAAAAATAACTTCCATTAATCGTTTTTGACCATTTTGTAGTCTTAAGGAGAAATTAGAAATGAAGGCTTGAAAAGGAAAGGAGAAGGAAATGGAGGGGGTATAAAAATGAAGGCAACTAACCCGAGTACCGAGAGGTTTTAAAATACCAGGTTCCACTTAAAAATGATCTTAAGGAAATTTTATCTTATGAAATACATAAGAAAAATTCTTTTTAAAAATATTAAAAAAAACCTGTTGATAAATAGAAAGGAACACGATATTTGCCACGAAGAACCCGTTCTCTCAATTCCTACAAAAAAAAATTTACATTAAAACAAAAAAATTTAAGAAAAAACCTTGAGATTCTGCCCGTCAAAAGGAAGGCTACCAGAGACGAGAGTATAAAGAATTACTCCCAAACTCCATACATCAACCTCTGGACCATCATATTTTTTTCCTTGAAAGAGTTCTGGTGCAGCATAAGGTGGTGACCCGCAAAATGTGTCCAATTTATTTCCTTTTAAATTTTGATTAAAAACAGTGAAAAGGATGGTACTTGTGAGTTATCCCAAACCAGTTTTTGCGGACATATTTTGCAAACTCTTTTGTATACACAGAATGGTCAGTCTTCCTCCTTTCCTCAATTTCACCCTATTTCACGATGGCATTATTTAATGAGAGGCAATAAAGAAAGGATTATTTTTAAATATAAATGGCCGATTTTTAAATCATGTTTGCCTCTCATTGAATAATGCCATAGTGAAATTGAGTGAAATTGAGGAAAGGAGGAAGACTGACCATTCTGTGTATACAAAAGAGTCCGCAAAATATGTCCGCAAAAACTGGTTTGGAATAACTCACAAGTACCAAAAGGATATACATAAACCGAGTAATCAAAAATAGGCTGTCGGCTAGAACCCAAAAGGGAGAATTTTCCGGTTCAATTTTTGGATATCAAAAAATTTCAGTTTGATTCCTGGTTTCGGTCCCAAATAAGAAACGAATATTCTGGGCAAGAATAAAAAAAGAAGCTGCTAAAAATCATCATCATTCCCAGTAACAAGCGATAAAATTTTTCTAGGAATAACATGGATTTTTGACAGTAAATGGCGCAGAACGGGCAAGATCACGTGTAGGGAATCTAGAGAGTCTGTATATAATTAATCTTGTGGGAGCTAGAATTCCAATGTCGTATTCAATTGGGTTAAATTCAAATGGGATTCAAAAAAAAAATTTAAAATCCATAAAATTACTCACCTGGAGAAAAAGTATTGCTAAATCCAAAATCGGCAATTTTGATATTCATAGCAGAATCCAACAATAAATTTTCCGCCTACAAAATTTTTATTTTTAAAAATTTAGGAAAAATCCAAAAAACCTTCAAATCTCTATGTATCACATTTTTAGAATGTAAATATTGAACAGCTGATACAATTTGTCTAAATTTTGCTCTAGCTTCTTTTTCTTTCATTCTTCCATGAGCTACCAAATAATCAAATAATTCACCACCACTAGCATATTCCATTACCAAATAAAGTGTTGTTTCGTTTTCAATAACTTGATAAAGTTTTACAATATTTGGATGGTCTAATTGTTTCATTATTCGAACTTCTCGGAATAACTTGAATAAAAATGATAAATTGATTTTAATTTATTAAATGGAGATTTGAGCTGGTATAAGACTAGACTTGGCTTTTCATGTACCCAGCGTAATTAGGGACCTTGTTACTCAGAGTAAGGTCATGGGTTGCCAGCTCAATAGTCAGAGGTTGCCTGGCCCAATAGTCAGATATTGCCTACTCTGGGGTTGCCTGCCCAATAGTCAGGAGTTGCCTGGCCAACCTTCTGCCAGTTGAATCCTATTATGGCTAGCTTCTCTTCTGCATGAGACAGGCTTTCCGTGTACCCAAAGAGAGGGTCCAACGTCCACGGATTGAAACTGAGCGTATGCTAGATTGGGCTGACACGAACACGGCTTTCCAATACCCAAATCCAAACTAGGGTCCGTTCTTAACCTCCTTACTGAGTTGAATCCTAGTCTCTGGAGAAGTGTTTCACCAAGGATATGAGACGGCGTTTCTACAAGAGCCGTCGATCCCGAACTAAAAATGACAAAATTGACCGTCTATGAGGTGTACGGGGAAAATACTCTCAAAAGTCAGCCTGCCCTAGCTAAAAACCAAATACAAAGTTAAACTAACCTTTTGAAGGCTGCTCGGATTTAAGGCAGTTTTATCAATAATTTTAATAGCAACTTCAACACCTGTTGGAATGTGTTTAGCCAACTTGACCTTTAAAAACAAATGCTTTTTTAATAAAACCAAAAAAATCAAAATAAACCTTTGCAAAATTGCCCTTTCCAATCGTTTTTAATAACTTATATTTTCCAGTAGTATCATCAGTCCGTAGCCGTGACCTTTGGGTTCTAGACATTGAAGAATGCATATTGACAGCTAAATTTGTTAAAATATGATAAATTGGTAAAATTGAACTTTTCTGAACTCTAGGTTTGATTTATTGACCAGGGCCGGATCCTGGGCCTGAAGTCTAGGAAAAACCCAGGAAGGTCAAAAAATGCCTGGGCCTGAATTCTGGGTACAGGAAAAACACAGGCCTTGGTCCAGACCCAGCTCGAATTTTTTACCGTGAAGTCCTACTCAGGGCTTCATGGTAAAAAATTTTTAAAATAGGGATTGAAAGGGATCTGACCATTTTTAACATTTTTTGAAGAAAGGAGGAACGAAGTTCAAATTTACCGAAAATTTAACAAAAAAATTAAAATAAAATATACTTTCAGCAGCAGCACTAGAATGCCTATGATGATGGCTGGAAGTTGCTGATTGTGTAGTAACAGCAGATGATCCAACATTTGTAGGTTGTTGTTGATGGTGTGAATGAGAAGATTGTTGTTGTTGCTTTTGTTGTACCATTGCACTAAAAAAATAAAATTTCTCGTATACTTTTAATAAACAATCGAAGAGAGAGAAAAGCTAATTAAACACAAAAGTACATATCCCTCCTAACTCAATAAATTTAAGTTACGTAACCAAAAAAAAAGTTTGGGAACAAAAAACATATTTACAAAATAAATTGGTGGTTCAAAATCCTTTCTGGATATTTTAATTAAATAAATTTATACCGTAAATGTTCCAATAGAAGCCCTGGGCATCTATTTTTCAATGGTCCCATTAGGTGAGCTTCTGATAGAACACGGGCTTCTACTAAAACATGGGCTTCTATACGGGCATGGGCGTTTATTCTTCAATACCCCTAATTGAGTGGGCTTCTAATAGGGCATGGGCACCTATTGGAGCCGGGCTTCTATTAGAACTTTACGGTAAATAAAAAAAATAAAAAAGAAAAAAAACCACAAAAACAAAAAACCCCCAAAAATTTAGACAATCAATACAAAAAAAATTTTTATTTGGCGAAATGAAAAATGATGTGTTTTGGTGAAATGAAAAACTTCACTTTAAAAATGGAAAAAAAAAGATAATGGAAAAATGAGAGACCAAAAATAGAAAAAGAGAAAAAAAAGAAAACAGACAGACAATGAAAGAAAAAATTAAATAAAATGCCAATTAAGTGAAAATTTTGTAATTTTTAAAGTTTTAAATGAGTATTCGAACACTTGGAAGATTGAAAAAATGTATAGCAGGGATGAACGGATTGAGACAAAAAAGGTCGGGTCGCGTTTCGGATCGGGGGTTTTTAAAAATTTCCTTGGATCCGGTTCGGGCAACCCAGCCTCTATGTAGAGAGTATGATCGAAATTTTTGAAAGCCTTGATCTGGGCTTGTTCCTAGGTGGGCCGGATCCTGGGCCTGTATTCCAGGAAAACCCCGGGCCTTGGTCCAGACCCTGCTCGATCTCTAGTAGAAGGATGATCTTCGAATTTTACAAAATTGTAAAATTCAACAAATACAATTGTAAAAATACACTAAAAAACATTTTAAGGTGCAACAAAACTAAAAAAAATTTTTTTTTCTGCAAAAACAACACACTCTACCTAGAGAATATTACTATTCTCAAACTCTCCCTATTTATTCTCTCAAACTCCCTCCCTCCCTTCCTCCTACAAATTTATTTATGACCTTGACTGAATATAGAAAAAAAAAGATTGGAAGAAAGGGTGGATTGATTGGAAGAATTTTTTTATTTATAATTTTTTCTTCCTTCTTTGTATTAAAATTTGTAAAAAAAAATATAAATTATTGTCTTTATTTAAAAAAGATTTATATTTTCCCACATTAAATTGGAAGAAAAAATAAAAAAAAAACAAAAATCACCTTCCTCCCCCCAAGTTAAAAAAAATCATTTGATGTAAAAAAAGGATGACTATGAATAATTGTGTTAAAAAATAAATATTTTAGGGGTTTTTGTCAAAAAATATATATAATTTTTATTAATATTAAAATGCTAAATTTGTGGAAGAAAAGGAGGGAAAAAACAAAAATCACCCCAAAATCCCCCAAAAATATGTGTAATATGTATCAATAGATTTTTTTACAGGAATTTTTTTTGTAAATGTCGAAAATAAATTCGCTTTAAGGAGGTCATTTTCAAGACAAAAAAGAATAAAATAAAAACGTCTATAATTTTAATAGTAAAAATTTTTAATTAAAAATTTTTTAAAGATGATTCTTGTGGCCTAAAAACACTTGTTTAACTGGTAAAAATAAAAAAAAATGAGCGGCTTTAAAGTAGGGTAGCTCCCAAGCCTTCGGGGTCTGGATCGTCGGTGATAGGAGTAGAGTCTTCGGAGTTGCAGTCTGGGGTTTTTGCCAATAAAATCGTCGGTGAGCTATCCTAGTTTAAAAATATATGGAGATTTTACGGATTTTTGTCAAAAAATATTTTTTAACATTTATTAAAATGCTAAATTTGGGGAAGAAAAAAATACATATTTATTTGTTTAGTGTATTTTTTAGGTATTAGATGACGTGGGTTTTTTTTGACTGGACAATAACAACATCTACCCCCCCCCCCCCCAAAAAATTATTATTTTATTTTCTCGACTCATTTTTAAAATAATTCTTTTAATATTCTATAAATGCACACTAATAAATTAACTAATAAAAAGGACAACAAAACAAAAAATTCCTTTGAAAAAAAAAATTTTTTTATTTTTTTTTACTAAGCAAAAAATGGGTATCTGGTCGTTAAACTCATAATGTGGGTTTTTCTCAAGTCCTCAACTCAAAAAATTTCAATAAAATTTTTTTTATAATCTTCGCTAAAAAATCTATGAACTGAATCAGAAAAATTAACAAGAGAAAAAAAATAATTTTTTAAGTTCAGACTCAAACTCGATAAATTATGTATGAGAGATCTGGATTCTCAAAAAATTCTCAATCTCATTACAAAAATAGTTCCCTAAACCTTTTAAAAAAAGACTCCCAACATCACTAAAAAATTATAATTTACTCTCTAAATTATCAAAAAATTTAATTTAAAAAATCTTTCCCCGGTTAATTTTTAAAAAATTATTTTTAAATAGAAAAAGAACAAAAATATATTCTTATCATGCTTCTTCTTTCCAAAAATAAAATTTTAAAGATTTTTAAAGATAAACAAAAATAAAAAAAAAAGTTAATTGTCTCAAGGATGCTCTTCCCCCTAAAGTCTCCCCCCCCTCCCTCCCTCCTCAAAAAATAAATAAAAGTAAAAATCAGTCAAAAAAAAATCTTTAAAACATTAAAAAAAGGTTAAGGGTTACCGGCTTAATTTTTTTATAAAAATTTAATTCCACCTTTGTGTGTAAATATATGAGGAAATTTTATTTGTTTGTTTGGTCGATTGGTCTCGACTATTACATTTATTTTTTTTTATTTTTTAATTTTAAAATTGAATGAATCAGCAATATAGAAAAATTGAAAGATTAGGAAATACTTTAAAATTCTTTGGAGGGAAAAGTGCAATTTGAATTGCTTAATAAGCAAAATGTTTTTGTATAAAATGACATTTTGTCATCAACATGTTTTACAAACTTAAAGTTTATAAATAAACTTATAGTTTGTAAACTTAAAAACTTAAGTTCTAAGCAATTAAAAAATGAATTAAACTTTACAAACTTAAAAATTATAAACTTGTTTACAAACTTTGTTGAGATTAAACTTAAGTTTTTAAATAAGTTTATAAACATTTTACAATTTTTGTTTGGAAAACTTAACAAACAAACATAAAAACAAATTAAAATCCACAAACATATTTAAACATGTTTTACAAACTACAACTTACAAACAAACATAAAAACCTACAAATAAATAAAATAAACTTTAAATTAAACTTGACAAGTTTTCCAACTTGTTTTACAAATTTAACATTTACAAACAACTTTAAAAACTTATTAAACTTTACAAACATTTTACAAACTTATTAAAACTTGTTTCTCAAACATTAAACCGAACAAACTTAAACTCAGTTTAAATTAAACTTTAAAAAACCTACTTGAAAGCATCCATTGTATATCCCCCCGTTGCTGGCACCCCACGAACAACAGCCTTCTCATCAATTTTTATTTGTTGTCTATTTTGTTGTCCACTATTTTTATGTTGAATATTTGTTGTATTTATTTGTTGTGAGGGTGAAATAGCCGTTGATGTTTTTGGTGTATTTGTTGTTGAGGAAGAAGGCATTTTTGTTGTTTCTTTAGTTTGTTTTTGTTGTTGTTGTATCTTTCCATTTTCTGTTTCTTCAAAACTTTTCTTTTTAATGTTTTTACTTTTGTTTTTCTCATCTTCTTCTTCATCTAATTTTGTTGTTGTTGTTGTTTTATCTAAAACAAGTTTATTTTATTTAAACAAGTTTAATATTTATCTAAACAAGTTTAATGTTTTTCCAAACAAGTTTATTTATTAATTAAATAAGTTTAATCTTTAAACAAGTTTATTTTTTATTCAAACAAGTTTATTTATTTATCTAAACAAAGTTTATTTTTTTGCTTCATGTTTTTCAGGTTTATTTTCATGTTTTGCTTCACTTCTTTTTACCCTACAAAACAACTAAAATATTCACCTGTCATTGTTAACATTAATTCATCCTTCTCATTTGATACTAATGCTAATTTTAAAACATCATTATCTAAAACATCCTTATTTTCTTCATTAAGTTGTTTTTGTTTTGAATTGTTTGAATTACTTGTTTTGTTTTGTTGTTGTCCATTATTTGGATTGTTGCTTCCAGCATTATTACCTCCTCCTCCTCCACCCTCTCCAGATGATGATGAAGATCCGCTCGTCGTGATGACTGTTGGTAAGAAAAAATGTTCAGGTGTGTTAATATTGTTGTTTATAAGAGGAAAATAAGGTTGTGACGCAAGTTCCGACGTTATTTTGTTGTTAAGGGCAAAATAAGAGAAGAGGAGAGTTTACTGAAAATTAATTTGAAAATTAAAAAAAAAATTTTTAGAAAAATTTAAATGAAAAAAAAAATTTTCTTTTCAGTATGACGTAAATTAAATTAGTTGGAAATTTTTCCAACTAATTTAATTAAAGTTTAAATAAACACGTGTTTCTTTGAAAAATGTTTATAATAAAATAAAAAATCTGAACATGTTTTTTATAAACAATGGAAACTTTACAAACTTTGCTTAAAACATACAACATTTAAAACATAATTAAATTAAAACAGGCGGAATTAAAACAGGCGGAATTTACAAAAAACATAAAATTCTAATTTATAAAAACACGCTTATAAAAAATCAGAATATAATCTCAACAAAGACAATTCTATATAAAACCAGAATTTATTTGCAACAAACAAATAATTCTGATTTATAAAAACACTTGTTTATATAAAACCAGAATTTATTATTTTATTTGTTTTAATTGATCAAAAAATAACCCAAAATAGAGGTGCTCTTTAAAGTTTGTACAAAAAAAACTTTTCACTAATTTTTAATTTGTTGATTTTGTGGTCTATTTTGCCGTAATTCCTGTCTCTTTTGGCCTTAATATTTTGTAAATTTTCCGTTTTTTGTAAAACAATTTTGTTGTTTTATTAATAAAATAAAAGCTACTAAACAAACACACCTGTCGATTAATTAAATATTTAGATTATTTATTAATTTTTGATGATTTTTGAGATTCGGAAAAATAAAAGGCCACACAACAAGAATGGTGATGACCTGTGTCACCCGAGAAAGGGCAAAAATATTTTTAAAGTGCAATAAATTGAGGAAGAAATACATATTTACAAAATAGGCAAATATAAAAATCAGAATAAAATTAAAACAAACGAAATTAAAACCAGCAAAACAAGCAAAATCAGAATAAAATTAAAACATGACGCGAAATTAAATAAAATAATTAAACCAGAATTAAATCAAAACAAGCATTCCAACAATAAACAAAATCAGAATTTACATAAAACAAATAAAAATAAGAAGATATAATATGAAAATCAAAATTAAATTAAAACAAGCGAAATTAAACAAAAAACATGTCCTAACAACAAACAAAATCAGAATTTATATAAAACAATTGACCCTAAAATTACAAACATAAAAAACATTTAAACCACAATTAAATTAAAAACAGGCGGAATTAAAACATCTGCTTTTATTCTGATAAAATCAAAACAAAAACAGATGTTTAAATACAAAACAATGTTAACGAAGAAAGTTAAAAAAATCCGCCTGTTTTAATTTAATTCCGCCTGTTTTAATTTAATTCTGGTATAAATTTAGTTATAATTATTAAATTATTAACAAGAAAATTGTCAAATTAAATTAATTATTAAAACATAAAATTATTTTTGTCCGTCAAAAAATTTTAAATATAATTTTATATATTTTATTATACACCTGTCGACAATTTAAAGTAACACTTAAAGCAATTTTTTAATTTTATTCTCGCGCACACTTAATTTTTTTTATTTTACCCATTAAATATACAGCAATTGTCTGAGTGTTTTATCGACATAAAAATTAAGAAAAAAAAAATTTTTTAAGGTGAAGAAAGAAAAAGATAAACGACGAACTGACTGACTTCCCCCTCCACAACATCATGTCCTATGGATGGATGAACCAAAGAAAACAAGGAGACTAGGTAGATAATAGAGAAGATAGGCTGTTTAGGAAAGTCTCTCTCCTCTTCTCCTCTTATTTTTTTTACTTCCTTTAATCTCAATCGAATAGTAGGTCCTTTTCTTCTCTCTATTAACCAGCCGATGACGACCAAGTAAATAAAGAAGTGGTTGGTTGTTTAGTTGGAGGGGAAGCTGGTTTGCTAGAATTGCAAAAAGAATCTCTCTCATTTCCCTCACAAAAATATATATTTTGTAGAAAAGGTAAGTAGAAGAGTTAGTAAGTAAAGGAAGTCGAGATTGAGAAATAAAGTTTTGTGTGTGCGGGCTTATAAAATCAAAAATTGATTATTAAATAGATTAATTCGGTAGTTGTAAAAATTAATTGTCAAGTTGACTGGATAGATGGAAGAAATAAAAAATCAGAATTATGTTGAGAAACAGGCTGATTTTTAAATAAAAACAGGCGGAATTAATTTGAGTTCTGGTTTTTATTAAAAAGAATGTTGTTTTAAATTAATTCTGATTCACAAAAACATGTTTTAGAGAAATTCTGATTTTTATTAAAAAAGCTGATTTTAACTGAAAAACATGTTCAAAATAAATTTTGATTTTTTTTCAATAAAAACAGGCGGATTTAAAAAAAATCAGAATTTATTATAAACATTTATTAAAGTTTTAGGCTTAATTTAACTACCTATTAGTATGAATAATATTAAAAAATAATTAGGGCTCAAAACAAAAGATTATTTTTATAAAAATAAATTTTAAAAAATCATAAAATAATAAATTAACTAAAATAGCGTTAACATATGCTTTTTTAATTTTTTTTCAAAAAAATTTTTTTATTAAAACAAAAAAGAACAGAAAACATGAATAAGAAAGTAAGCCCAAAAAGCATCTACTAAAGCTATTCATTCACTCATAGAAAATAAAAAAAAGAAAAAATTGAATGAATTATCAATCGAGGGGGTAAAAAATAAAGTAACATATACAACTGATATATAATTGCAATAATAAAAGAGGAAAAAAATTTTTTTGAGGGAATTAAGAACGAAAAAAATGAGAAAAAATGTAGGCCACTAGGGAGAATTGATATTTGAAGAAATAAAAATGGAAAAAAAAATAATTTTTTGAATAAAAACCCATGATAAAATATTAGTAGAGAAATTGGAGGATGACATGCAAAAATAAAGGGAGAAATGTAAAAATGGTGAAAAAGAATAGTGGCGGAAATAATAAAAAAAAAGGTTTGATTAAAAAGGGATTAGTAAGTTTGGGCGAAAATCAATTATTTATTAATCAAATTAAAATAAATAATTTAGCGAAAAAAATTTGTTCAAATTATATTCTGGTTTTTATTTAAAAAGGCGTGTTTTTTCAAGTTTAGAAAAACAGGCAGGTTTTTATTCTGGTCTATTAAAAACAAAAAATTCTGATATAAGTTCTGGTTTTTTAAAAACAAAGTTGTAACAGTAATACATAAACATGTTTCCGGTTTATTAAAACAAGGTTTTAATTAAAACAAGTTAGTTTATGCTTAAGTAAAACAAGTTGGTTTCCGGTGTATTAAAACAGGTTGGTTTTGTTTACCAAACAAGTTGGGGGTTGTTTAAATAAAACAAGTTTAATTAAAACAAGTTTATTAAAAACAAGTTTATAAAAACAAGTTAGTGCATTATTCCAAAACAAGTTTATATAATTAAAAAATTACAACTTCTCCATTTCAACTTGTTCAAATAATTAAAACAAACCTAAAACAAATTATCAACCTTTTTTACAACAAATTCAATTTTGTTTTATTAACGTCAATTTTTAAAATAAAATTAAAGCAAATTCAATTTTTAGTGCTCTCTCGAAAAGAGGCAAAACTAAAAAAAAATATTGTCTATGAAAACGTGAATATATAAAGAAATTGGAGAAATATGGAAGGAAAAAAAGAAATAAAATATTTATATATTTGTGTGTGTGTTATTTGAAGCGAGAACAAAACGGACGTCGATGTGAGTGGCAGCTTCGAGAATAGGGGAAAAATTGAGAGGAAAAATTTGGGGGGAAATGTTTTAAACTGAAAAGAGACTGTATAGAAACATGAGGGTAAGGTAGAGAAATTGGAATTTTTTGTTAGGAAAGACGAGAATAATATTTGTTTGGAGACAGATTGACTGGCTGGTAGAGGTTGGTAATAATGAGAGTAAGCTTTTAAAAAGGAGAGAAAGGAGGGGCTGTTTAAACGTGAGGACAAACAAAAGATTAAAGAGGGGATTGTTTGAGTATAGAGGTGAATTTAAATCTCAACATGAATTCACCTCTAGACCGGAGAGAATGCAAAAAAATCGAATTTAAAGTCGAACAGGTCGGAAAAATATAATCGAATTTATTCGATCGAATATCTATCAATATCAATATCTATCAATCTATCAAATATCCGATAAAACAGACATATTAATTAGAGAAAGAAAGAAAAAGGGAAACGCTTAGCCTTTAATAGTCGTAGACTAAACAAAGCTGTCTGATGAATGCAGCAGGATTTTAGCTGCTAAAAAGGGGGATAAAAATGAATCGATATTTTCGTTGCAAAATGTCAAGAGTAGAATGTCAGTAAGACAAAATGACAGAAACACTGCTTGAACAAAATGTTAACATATGTAAAAAAATCAGAATTATTTTAAAACATGCTTGTTTTAAACAAAACAGGCGGAATTATAGAAATTCTGATTCTATTAAAGAAAACGTTGTTTTATTTAAATTCTGATTATGATAAACATGTTCTAAATAAATTCTGATTTACTGTAAAAGTCAGGTTTACTCGAACATATGTTTTTAACAGCAAAAACATTCTATTCTGATTTTAAATACCAGAATTTTGCCTTAAAAATCTTTAAAAATAATTTTAAAAAATTAAAAAACGATAGTAATTAATTTAAAAATTAAAATCGTCTTTAAAATTTACTTTTTCATTTTTATAAATTTAAAGAAATAAAATCACATGGATTTTTGCCTTAACTTTTGCTTATCTGTTTTTTGAACAGTTGACCGACCCATTTAATTTTTTAGTTTTTTATTTACTTCCTTTGTTTGCTAAACTAGTTCCTCTTTTAAAGATAAATTTTCTTTTAAAACCCTCCAAAAATTAAGAAAAATCTGGTTCTCCCCAGAGAAACTTCCATTGTAGATAAACAGCAGGGACTTCCTCCCGGAAATGCCAAACATTCTGTTATATTTTTGGATGTTTTTATGCGTTAAATATGTATGTTCGTGTAAATTAAATTTTTACAACAATCAGAATTTAATTAAAACATATTTTTAAAATCAGAATTTTTCTAAAACATGTTCTTAAAATCAGAATGTCTTTAAAACATGTTTTAAAATCAGAATTCATTTAAAACATGTTTTTTTTTAAATCAGAATTTAATTAAAACAACATTTTTAATAAAAATCAGAATTTCAGTTTTAATTAAAAATCAGCATGTTTTACAATAATTCTGATTTCCTAGCCTATTTAATCAGAATAAAATTAAATAAAATGTTATGATCATTATATAATTAATTTCTTAAATATTCTAATCAATTGTACTTGCTTTAAAAACTATTTATTTTTATACTTTGTACTTCCTTTGTTTTAATTACCCAATAAATTATAGTAAAGATAAAGTATACTCTAAAAATACTAAAAACTAAATTAATTATTACACTAAAAAAAGAACGTGAAAAAAATAAAAATAAAATAAGTGTAATTAAAAAATAGTCATTAAATTACTGCAAATTGCTGGTACTATGAGCAATAAAAAATTAAAAAAATAAAAATTAAATATATTTTCATGGAAATACAAATAAATGAAAAAATAAGTAATAAAGTTGTAAAAAATCAGAATATTAAAAATCAGAATATTATCACAACTTATGAAATCAGAATGTTTGTGTAAAATTAAAAAGTTGCTTAAAACATTAATTAATTATTCTGATTTTTAAATAAATCAGAATAATTAAATACAACTTTTCTAATTACAACTTGTTCGAAACTTATTAAAACTTGTTTGTGAAAGATTAAAAAACTTGTTTTAAAACAAGTTGGCTTTTAAAACAAGTTAGTCATGTTTTGAGTTAATTCTGATTTCCATTTAAAAAGGCTGTTTTAAATAAATTCTGATTTTAAAAAATTTTAAATGGTTCTAAAACATGTGTTTCTCAAAAACATGTTTCCCTACTATTCATAGCCTTGTTAAATACCCAAAAGATGTTAATTATTTTAAAGTAACAACAAAATTACTAATAATAATTCTAGTAAAAAATACTAACAAAAAATATAATAATGTAAAAAAAAATAAGAATTTTCTCAACTACATAATGAAGTCGCCAAACATAAAATATGATATAAACAAAACAACGCAGGAAATACAGCTGAAAGGAGCGGGGAAAATAATGCAAAAATAAGGGGGAAATGTGTGAATAGGATTAATCCAAAATATCATTTCTGCATAGTTTACACGTAAATTGTTGATATTTTGGAAAGAGTTGAGTGAAGGGGGTCGGTTGGTTATACGGATTATAGTTAGAAGAGCACAGCATCGCTGTCAAAGAAAGGAAGGCAGACGGAAGTAAACGACCCCGGAAGAAAAAAATATAGGGAGAAAAAAAGGAAGAAGTGGGTTTTTTGTGTTAAGCGGATGGAAAAGCGGATAAATTGAGAAAAAATGAGACAAAAAGAGGAATTAACTAGAAAAAATGATAAAAAAAGTACAAAGTGCGAAGTTGGGAAGAAATGGAAAATTAAATCAATAATGTTTAAAATATGAATGTTTTTATGTTTTTAGTGATGTTTGAATAAAAACAACAAGTTTGAAAACAAGTTTAAAAACAAGTTGCCAAACTTGCTTATAAACAAGTTGGAAAGTTGAATAAATTTAATATAAAATACAACTTATTCATAAAACATGTTTTTTTTTATTCGCAACAAGTTGGAAAACAAGTTTTAATTAAAACCTGAGTTTAATTAAAACATAACAGTGTTGAACAAGTTTTGATTGAATAAAAATAAACCTGTTTATAAACAAGTTGGAAGAAATTAATAAAAACATACAACCTAAATAAAAACAAGCTGGTCGTTTTTATTTTAATAAAAACATTGATAAACATGTTTGCCATCTCAATAAAACATTAAACTCATTAAAACTTGTTTGTTTATTTTTCCCGTTATAAATAATGTTTTTACAATTTAACCGTCTAAAATTCTGTTTATTTTTCTACAGCAAACAATAAATAAACAACCGCTATAAATACTTTTTTGATTAGATAAAAATATCATTTTTTCTCGTTATCATTTTAATTTTAAAAAATGTTAAGGATTTTAATAATTCATAAAACAATTTTATCTTTCTTTCTTACGACGATTTCTTTGATTTTTTGAGAAAATAAATTAAAAAAAGGGGTCTTTAAAAAATAAAAATTGAATGAAATGATTAGGTAAAATTCTAAAAAAATGTTTTAATAAATTTTACAAAGTTCCTTTTTAATAAATTTATATTTTACATAATTGTTAGTTGATATATTTGGAAAATTATGGGCGTATTAACACTTACAACCACTCAATTTTTCACTGATATTTATAGCTAATCCAAAAACATTAAATAAATTAAATATATATTTTAGATAAATACCAAGGCCTTTAAATAAAACCAAAAATTAAATGAAAGATCAGAGAAAAAAAAAATATGAAAAATAAAGTATAAAAATGGAAAAGCTTAAAAATTAACCAAAAATAGCTTATAGCTGCAAAACTATAATTATTATTATTGCTTACAAAACATCTAAACTTGTATGTTTAAGTTATTTATAGTGAAACTTGTTTTAAGCTAGTGCCGAACAAGTTTATTTAATAAGCTTAAAAATTGAAAACAAGTTTATTAAAAACAAGTTTAAACTTTGTTTAAATACAAAGTTTGTTTGGGACAAAAATTAAGTTTATTAAATAAACTTGTTCAAAAACATCTTGAAACAAGTTAGATTAAAAAATAAAACAAACTTGTTCGTAATAAATTTAAAACAAGTTTAATTATATGTTGCCGAACAAGTTTGTTTTATAAAATTATTTTCTGAACCAAACTTAATTTGCTTTTAAACAATGTTTAAATAAGTTTTATTTATTTTAAAACATAAAAAATAATAGAGAAAAAGCTTAAAAATTAATTAAAAATAGCTTTTGCTGCAAAAATAAAAATAAAAAAAAATTAATTAATTTAAAAATAGCAAAAATAAAAAAGCTAAATAAAAAAGCAAATATAATAAATGTTAAGCTAACATTTATTAGATATTGATCGTTAAAGCAGGGTTAAACAAAAAAGTAATTTTTTATAAAGCTTCGATGACAACGAGAAAAAAATAAAAATAAAAAAAATTTTTTTCTAAAATTATTCTCGTGTTTTGTGTTGTGTTATGTACTGTGAAAGCATTTTTCTATTATTTTTTCTTTTATTTTTTTTATTTTTATAATCACGCGCAATAACATTTTTACTCTAAAAAAGGCAATGAAAAGGACACGAAATAAATAAATATTAATTTCCACCAATTAATTTCTAAAAATGGAATTATAGTAAAAATGACGATTTATTAATAGTCGCGAGAGTATAAGATGAGGACAAAGAAAATATAAAATTTAAAAGAAAAGAGATTAAAAAATAATTTTCTAAAAATAGATTGTGTATATTTTTACATGAGTAATATAAATTACAACGTTAATGTTTGTTTTAATAAAACTTTAATTCAAACATTTAAAAAGAAAATGAAAACAAAACAAACTTGAAGTTTGGAAACAAGTTGGTTAAAAAAATTAAACTTGTTTGGAAACAAGTTGGTTAAAAAAATTAAACTTGTTTCAAAACAAGTTGGTTAAAAAATTAAACTTGTTTGAAAACAAGTTGATCAAAAAAGAAAGCTTGTTTGAAAACAAGTTTAAAAACAAGTTGGTAAAACAAAAGTTGGTAAGGTTGAAATGATTAAAACACTAATTAAAAAAATAAAACTTATTTAGAAACAAGTTGGCCAACATAATAAAGTTGACGTCAACAAAACACAACTTGTTTCTTTCCCTCCTTCAATTTCCTCTATAAAACTTGATTAAAAACAAGTTGAATTAAAATAGTAATTTTTTAAATGTTGCAAAACAAGTTTATTTATTTTTAGCAAAGTTTATATTATATTTATTCCAAACAAAACTTTGTTTTTATATAGGTTTAATTTAAAGTTTATTTTTATAATTAAAATAATTCATCCCCAAAAATCAAAAACACCATCACCCCCTATTTCCTCTTCGCCTCCCTCCATTTCCTCTTCACCATTATCATCATCCTGTTGCCAATCATCAGCGAAAGGTTCGAATAAGTCGTCTCCAGTTCCCCAAGCTATTTAAACAAATATTTTTTTGAATTTTAATTTTATAACCCCATCCTCTTTGACGATTCAACCTTCGTTTTTTAGTCTGTTGGTGCCTTTTTCTGTTAGTTATTCGCCTATCACCTCCATTTAATCTTTGTCGGTTCCCTACAAAACCAAATCCTGAACCCCCAATACGTGGTCTTAAAGGAAATTGACGAATTGGTGACTTAGTTGTTTTGGGGGCTTCAGCTGCTGCCCAAAGGTTGTTGTTGTTTTCAATGTTTGTTGTGCTAGTTCGAGCATAACAAAGATTCTTAAAATTGGAGGAAAGAACAATTTTTTAAAATTAATAAAACTTGAAATAAAACAAGTTTTTTAATTGCTGAGAGAAAATGTTTTTACAAATGAAAAAAGGTTTTTACAAACTTGAAGCAAAACAAGTTTGAATGAAACAAACTTGAATTAAAACAAGTTGGTCAAGTTTTGGGGAAAAATGTCTTTACACAGGAAAAAACAAAGCTTGAATAAAACAAGTTTTAATTAAAATAAACTTGAAATAAAACAAGTTTGTTGTGTATGGGAGGAAATCAAACATGTTATAAAACAAGTTGGTCAAATTTTAATAGAAAAAGTTTTTTAAACATTTTTTTCCTACCCCAGCACCACATTCATATCCTTCAGGACATTTACCATTGACGCAAGGGCCAATAACACTACTAAAAATAAGTTCATAAACATTAAAGAACAAAGGAAGTTTAAAAACCCAGCGCCTGCAGCACAACAAAAATTGTTGGAATTGCAAACGTATCCAGTCGGGCAGAGGCCGTTAATGCAATTTCCTAAAAAAATTTTTCCTAAATTTTTAATGTGGTTAAAAACCAAGCGATTTTCCAATAGGACATCGACAACAAAATTTTCGATGGTTACAGAAAAAGCCTTGCCCGCAAAGTCCATTCATACAAGCAGCAACTGCTTCCTCCCCATCACAAGCTGTCTTCAAGTCAGGCTGTGGATGTATTATCATTGCAGGACGACAACAACAACGAACCATATTTACCATCTTTATTGTTCCAAAAAATCTTTCTATTTTTAATTTTCAAAATTTTACTTGAGGCTGCATACACTGAACAGCTTGACAATTTGTTGGTTGACAACCAAAACATTGAGGAGGGCAAGGTTCCATTTGTTGTTGAGGGTATGGTGGCCACATTTGTTGTTGTTGAGGCCACCATTGTTGTCGTTTAATGCGAGAATGATTTTGTAGGGGAATATAATTTAAGAAAGAAGTTGATGAGATATTTTTGTAGGAAGATGAAGGTACTAGAATGAGGGTAGATTGTACAAATGGTGGCAATATAGAAAGGAAATTGCTTATAAAAATAATTATAAAGAGGAGGAATAATGGAGGAAATGAAGTAAATGTTGTTAAAATTGAAGAAAATAAAAGCCGGGAAAGGGAAGAAGAGGAGTCACTATTGGAGTTGTTGAGGGTCAATGAAGTTTTTTCTGCATAAATTTTTGAATAAATTTTAGAAATTCTATTTAGAACTAAGATTAGCGTTCGATAGGATTAGAATATAATGGGAAATCCAGATAAAAAATTTGGCCAAAAACAAAGAGGTATGGGTTAATACCGGCTGTGTTAGTCTAATGTGTCAGCCCGCTCTGACCCTAATTTGGAACTAGAAATCCAAAAAACCTATAGTTTAATTAAAATTAGGTTCACCAGGGAGATGACAGCAACGTCTTCGCCACAGGCATTTATTAACATTTAGGCGGTTGTTTTTATAAGGCTCAGACTGGCAGCAAGCAGTACACGAACAAGAGTTGTCAAACTCTGTTAAAATTTGAATTTTTGACTTTAAAATCCCCCCAATTTGCTAAGCTACTTATAATTTGAACAGAATCAGCATCTGAATTAATTGTAGTAGTCAAAGCCACAGATGGAATCATCAGACAATCATCATTTTCTAACGGCATAATTTTTGGTTCAAAATAAACCCAGTATTAGTTTAAAAGAATTTTTGCTTCATTTAAGTGTTTGTGTGCTTTATAATTATAATTCTTCAAAAATTTTTGGGACTAATTTGAAAGAGAGGAAATAATATATAAATAGCAAATGAGTCTTTAAGAGAACAATGACCGGTCAAAATAATTCTTTCTATCCTCTCTATTAAGCAAATTTTTGCTTTTTCTTCTTCCCGATTTGCGCATTCGAGTGCCCGTCCAATTCTTATGGCCTCCGCCCTTATTTTTAAAAGAAGAGTTTATCTTCGTTCGAGATTTTTAAATGATAGAGAGGGAGTAGTTTCTTAGTTCAAGCGCTTCTTCTGGCTATTATTACTGAGGGAGGAGGATAAACTTTCATAACCAAGTCTTCATAATCAGAAGATGACCATGCTCAATGCTATTACCCTGTCTTAATAATTAGAAATGAGATAGTAGCTTCATCACCGTATTAAATAGATTCCTTATCCTCTTCAAGAATATCTTCCTATCTTCATTTTCAATCCATTAGTTATTCATCTCTTCACCTACTCCTCTCTTCCTTCAGTTTTTCTTCCTATCTTCAACGCCTTTTTTCCTTCAATTTTTCTTGAGTTTTCTCTCAATTTCCAACTTTATGATTAATCTTCTTCAATTCAACTATTAATTCTCTTTCTTCTCCTATTCTTTAAATTCCTTTCCTTATTATTTGTTTTTTAATTTTCATTGCTTCATTATTATCAAAAAATAGAAAAAAAAGCAGCAATCGGCCGACAATCGGCTCAATGCTTAATACTTCCTCTCTTCCATTCTTCCTCTTCCCTCTAAAAAATTTTTTAAATGGGATTTTTTCCAAGCACTTTTTAAATTTAGCTACATTTGACTCATCCACCTTCTTCCTTTTCCTTCAATTCTTCGCAAAAAATTCTTCTGTTCCCTTCTCTCCATGTTCAGTAATCCTTTCGAGAGTGCTTCGATGAGACAAATAATTTTTCAAGTGGTTAATAGTGATCATAAACTGAAACTGACCCTTTTAAATATACTTTTTTCTGTTACTTTTCCTATTCCGATTTGGATTTAGTTAAATAAAAAAAGTAAGCCGATTGGTGTCTTTTAGAGGGTGGGGGAAAGGAGAGAGACTAGTCCATAGAGATGTAGGAGAGAGAAAGGAGAGAGAAAGGAGAGAGACTAGTCCATAGAGATGTACTAGTCCATAGATCATACATCAATTTTTGTTCATAATTTTTTATTAGGGGACAAGTTTAAAAAATAAATAGGAGGGCCAATAATACTCCTTATGAGTGTAGTATGAGGTCGGAGTTCTAATGAAGGGACAGGGTAGACAAGGGACAGAGAGAGACGTGTCGGACACAAGTCCAGAGAGTTGTTTCATACATCAAATTTTTGTTCATAATTTTTTTTAAAAATTAAGGGGACGAGTTCAAAAGATAAATAAGTCCAAGATACACCCTAGGAGTATTGTAGAAAGTCAGAGGATTTTAATATAAAAAACAAAAAATTATTTAGCTTAAATTTATTAAATTTTAAGGAAATGGCTCGCTTAATTAATTTAAAATAAGTTAATTTATTCAGTTTGTTCAATTATTTGTTCATTATCTTGTTGAACAGGTATAAAATACTGTCCATTAGCAGCATCATAAAATACTTGGAGAGGTTGTAAATTATAGTTGGGATTAATTATTAATTGTTGTTCTTGCTTTAAATTTAAATATGTTTTTATTTGTTTTTAAAACAAAAAGAGAAGAAAAAAGTTGGTCAAGTAGTAAGAAAAATAAAAAGGTTAAAACTTGAATTAAGACAAGTTTAAAAAAAAGTTTGCAACTTGTTTAAAACAAAGTTTTAAAAATAAGAGAAAAAAGTAAGTTTTACTAAAGTAAGTAAAATAAGAAAAGGTTAAAACTTAAAGCGAAACAAGTTTGTAGAACAAGTTTGAAAAAATGCAACTTGTTTAAAACAAGTTTTAAAAATAAAACATTTAAAAAAAGCTTAAAAACAAGTTGGTTATGAACTCAACAAATAATGAAAAAAGTTTTAAGAAAAATAAAAAATTGAAACTTGAAGCAAAACAACTTCAAAACAAGTTGGAAAAAAGTTTGCAACTTGTTTAGAAAAAAAAGATCGAAACTTGTTCAAAACAAAGTTTTAAAAAATAAGAGAAAAACAAGTTTAAAAACATTTAAAAACATGTGTAAAAATTAAAACATGTTTAGAACTTTAATAAAACCCAACAAGGTTAAAACTTGTTGCAAAACATGTTGCAAAACATGTTTAAAAAATAAAATTAAAAATATAAACCCACCAAATAAACCATTTGTTGATTTTCATCAGTTGTAGCCACCTCCACCTCTTTAACAGTGTTTGCTGCATTGTTGTTGTTGTTGTTAGCGTTGTTGTTATTGTTTCCCATTTGTTGGACAAGTGTAGCTGCTTGACTACTTTGCAGTCTGTTGGCTTAAAAAAAATTTTTTTTTGAAAATTTTTGAAAAAATTTTTGAAAATTAAAAAATTTTTCAGAATTTTTTTAAATTAATTAAAAAAAACCTTCTTTAAATTTCCTCAAAAAATCTTCCAAAGGCGTCACATATTCGTCAAATCCCAAAGTACGAAAGGCAGTTAATATGTCTTCTCCAGAAATTGTTTTTCTTCTTTCCTATAAATTTTTTAAATTAAAAAATTTTTGAAAAATAATTTTTTTGAAAGAAAATTGGGAAGAGAAGAAGCGTAGAAAAAAGAAAAAATTTTTGCGTATAAAAATTTGTCCGCAAAAAATTTGCGGACAAAATTTTTGTCCGCAAATTTTTTGCGGATTTTTCTTGCGGACTTTTTTTTCTAAAATTTCTTTCAACACGAACTGGTTCGGAGTCCACCCTCTTTCCAAATAAATTAGAAAAAAATTCCACTTACTATTGCACAGCGTTCACTTGCTTCGGAAGTAATAAACTTAAAAATAGACCAAAAATTAAAAATAAATAATTTTAAAAAATACCAAAAGAAATTCAGTAATACATTCCTGAATGCATTCCTTGGCTTCCTTAGACAATTTTCCTTCCGGCGGAATTACTCGTTTCATTACTCGAGTTATATTTGCTGAAATTTAAGAGTTGGAAATTATAAAGAAAAATATTTTGGCTTTTGTTTAGGTCACGGATTCTATAAAGTCGTAAGATTTTTTTTCTTTTAAAATAAGTTTTGAGTTCAAAAGGCCATAGGTTCCAATTTGAGTGGGCCAGGGTATGCGAAACACGATCCCGGCTTCTTTCGACACGAAATTCAAAACCCGATTCAAAAAACGGGTTCCAGCCAATCCATGGTTTCAACGTAAAAACGTTGAAGGAAAACTGTTAAAACGAACCCAAACAAGAGCCAAAATATTCTCTTAAAATTTGAGAACTAACCTATAGGTAGAAAACGATCCTGTTCGAGAATTATACCACCATTTGTATTACTTGAAGAAGCTTGCGGTTGTTGCTGTTGTGTCTCGTCAACAAATTCATTAATTATAGTTTCATCCATTCAAGGCTTCTTAAAAATATTGTGAGGATTTAGATAAATATTAGCAAAAGTAAATAAATTAAATTTAGAAATAACTCACAGAAAAAAACAGGGACACGTCCACATTGTCGCGGGCCACTTTGTCGCGACCACTTTGTCGCGACCACTTTGTCGCGACCACTTTGTCGCAGGCCACTTTGTCGCAGGCTTTCCTTTGATTTTTATTTTAATATTGGCCTAAATTATGCTCGCCACGTGCCGTACTTCATCCCACGGCTACAACGATGGGAAACGGCACTGCTTAGGGTCATAAATTCAATAAGCTAAGCACGACAATCGGTTTTTTTTTGAATTTTTTTATAGTTTTTAGGTGTTTTTTTTCCTTATATTATTTTCTCTTATCCGGGTAAGTTCTGCCGGAATTTTTAACGGAGTGAAACCAAACCAGACTACTCCAGAAAACCCCGGTCGTGCCCAGAAGGCCCTTTTCCTACTTTTCATAGCAGCATAAAAATTTTTTTAACTAAAAAGACCTTTGCGACAAAGTGGCCTGCGACAATGTGGGGCTGCGACAATGTGGCCTGCGACAAAGTGGTCGCGACAAAGTGGTCGCGACAAAGTGGCCTGCGACAAAGTGGGCCGTACCCAAAAAAACAAAAACCCACTTAAAAATCCAAGAAAACCGGAAACGGAAATTAAGAAGAAAGACTATAGAAAAAGAAGAGACGGTTAGAGAAAAAAAGTTAATTTATTTTAATTTTGGCGTTCTGTTTAATTTTTGCGATTTTCCGTTTAAACGCAAAATGGCGTCTATTTTTAACGGGAAATTTTTTAAAATTTTTTAAGGCCTCTTCAACATTTTTTTGCTTCTTTTTAGACGCTGCCTCGATGCTTCCATTCCCATATTCTCCATTTGCTGCTGCTCAACATTTATTTGGATATAATGACCCAAAATTACTTAAGGATGCTAAAAAGACGGAATTTGTTAAATTTATGGATATTTGTGAACACTTTTTTATTTCACATCCAGCATCTGGACAAAAAGAAGGGCATGAGCTTGAAAGGTTTTTTTTATTTGAAAATAATTTTTGGGGTCTTGAACTTAAGTATCGTGCTAAATCGCTTCCCAATTCTTTTTTATACGACTTTAGCAATTATAAATCAAAAAGAAGGGTTTGTTGGGATTTGGGGCGGTAGATGGGAATTCTCTCTCGTAACTGTCTGATAAGGGAGTACACCAAAAATATTCTTGCTCGTGAGTCTCACTTATCCTTCCAAATATTTGGAGTTGACCTCCATGGCGACCACTAGGATGTTGACCTTGCTGGGTTAAACCCGTTTTTGGGGAATTGGGTTTTCAAAAACCTTGACCTTGATTTTATGTGAGGGCCTTGCCTAGATTCTTGATATTGACATGAGTTAGGGAAAAATCAAGGAACTCTGAAAAATGCCTTGATCTTGACTCTGAATCCAGGAAAAAGCAAGGTATGGATCCAGATCCAGCACGCCCTCTAAGAAGAGAATAAAAACGATTTGTATTTTTATCTATTTTTTAGAGTTATGCTTTTTCTGCCTGCTTCAGAAACCTTAACAAAACAAATGGAAATAACTGGAATGGCTGAGGCTATAGTTAACTTTAGTGCCAATATACTTTTTAATCAGCCAAAGGATACTGAAATTAAAGATGGAAAACAACAAACAAAGCCGTTGTGTATAAATGGTGATGATGAGTCTGTTGATTTTAGATATGTAAGAGATTAATTTTCTAAAATTGGGAAATAAAAGCAATGTTTTTAACTTTCGCCGATTTTCTTTTTTTGGTGTTTCACCTTTCATCACTTGCATTTTAAAATCTGTACAACTCTGTTTTAGTGTTTTACCGGAACCGAGATTTTGCTGGAACCGGATCCAATTTTAGTCTCTGTTTTCTGAACCGGAACTAAAAAACGCCGGAACTTTTTCAAACCGGAACTTTCGGTGAAACCCTACTCTGTGTATACTCTAACCAGGAATTTTCTAGGCCAGTCCATGTTGTTAAATATTTTTAATTAAAATTTTAGATCAGTTCATCGACATCAAAAGAAGTTGTTCTGGTTGTTGAGAATGGAGCCTTCTTTATTGGTGTTTCTTTGAACAGGTTTTTACTATCTATTTTTTAAAAATTTTTACTTGTGTTTGATGGGTAATTTTTTTCAAAATTCCAGTTTAATTTTTTTAACATTTTAATCTTATACCTAACCTCCTCTCAATTTTTGGGAAATGATAAAATACATCAATTTCTTTTTTTGTTTTTGTAAAGTTGGTCTCCTACTCCGCCCTACAATTATTTTTACGGTATTCCCCGATGTGATCCCTGGGAAATTTTTTGTCCTCGGTCAACGTCAACCTTTTCTCCGACATCCTTATTCCCAGAAAAATGACTGCCTGACGTGTCGTTGGATTTTATTTTCCTTACCTCCTTATCAAATTTCATTTTCTCTTTTAAATTCTCAATTATGTTTTGTTAAAGTTAAGGAAACTTTGCAAACAATTTGATTATTGTGTCCATTTACCAACCATTCGAGCATTGTTAGAACGTGCCTACAACGCCTACAAACTCTTTTATGGCTCCTTTAGTGTTGTATTTAATTCTGATTTGGTACATTTTAAAAACGTTTTGGATACGTTTTTTGCTCCATATTTACAATTACTTAGAGTTTGCAAGGTTGGTTTGGACTTGAAATTTTTTTGGATTAATTTTTAATTATTTTTAGACTCCTTTGGTTGATTTGTTTAGTGGAGTCGACTTTCTCCCACTGGGAAGCCTCAATTTTCTTGAAGTTCATTGTCTGGTGAGATTTATTTTTTATTATTTTATGAAGATCCGACTTAAACTTTGGCGTTTGCACCGTCCTCGCCTCCCAATTAAATTTTACGGCTTATTGGTGTAGCCACCACCAGTTTCGTTCGTCTCCACTCATCCAAAGAACCAAGGTCTTAAGAATGTACTTCCGATTTCAACTTGAGCAGTTGAACCGTCCTCGCCTCCCAATTAAAGTTTACGGCTTATCGGTGTCGCCGGCTTTAGCCTTATTTGTCTCCACTTTTTCAAAGAATTAAGATCTTAAGAGTGAATTTTGAATGGGGAATATCATACATGGTATTACTGACACAATTCTGATCACCAACCTCTTAACCCTAATTCCTTAAAAAAATCCTAAGACTTCAAAAATCCCCAATAATTAAAAATTATTTATTTTCAGATGACAAATTGTTTGGAAGAATTTCCTCAAATAAAAAAGACTATATTTCTTTATCAAGAAAGGTTTTTAGATTCTATTTTTTTATTAAAAATTTAATAAATTTAGATTAATCCAATATTCTGTTGAAAAACGCGATTTGATCGTTCTTTGGCATTTTTTAACGCAAACAATAGTTCCTTCAGCAATGCAAGCAGAATTAACACCAGAAGGGATTTTAAACGAGAAAAGGTTTTTAAAATTTATTTCTAAGATTTTTAAATTTCAAACTAGGGTTGGGCTCAAATGCTTATTTGGTCCGAAAACCAGTGTTTTTGACAAATTGACTGGAACCGAAAAGCGAAGGTCATAAACCTGTGAATAGTCTAAACGCGGGTAGGGGAGGGGGTAACTGGCTAATTATTGATTATGTCCATGCCTATTCCTCAGAAAAGAAAATTAAAGATGACAAAATATCCCAAAAATTTTGAGATTTATTTTTTAGTACTGCCAATACTTCTACTTCTGATCTAAATAAGAGTGGCTTTTTTGTTGATTCTTCAATTATTAGAGATTATTTGGGCGAATTCTCAGATCACAAATTTCCGAAAATTTTTATTTTGGATGGTGAAAATGATGACAAATGTGTGGAATATTATTTGGTATTTTTTAAATTTTTTTAAATTTATTAATTTTGTAAGGATTGGGGCGTTCATGGGGGAGACTTAAAACTCTTAGGACGGGGGTTTTTAAAATAATTTCCTCGCTGCCCCCCCCCCCCCCCCCCCCCAATCCTGATTACGGGTCTGGGTAAAGCCATCTTTGTCTATATTAGTCTAGTCACTGCAGTGAACATGGTTTTTGGAAACCAGAATGGAAATTTTGGAAACCGGAATTGGAAACCACAATGAACAATGTGTAATTAATTTGTGTTAAACAACTACCCCAACAAAACCCGTTAGTTAAATAAGCCTCTTCCTATTTTTAAACTCCAATCTATCTTTTTTTTAATTTTTAGATAGCCTATCGTGTTTTAAACGCAACTGCTTGCTTTTTTGTTCGAGCTGATGAAACACAAAATGATACAATTAATAATGAATTTCTTGAAAATCTTTCCGATTTTATTGACACAAAAATGTCTTCAATCGCCTCAACAATTGGAGAACAATTTTCAAATGAAATAACTGCTAGGCCTAATTCAAATTTGGATATTCCCTATCATTTCATTTATTTCAATCCGGATAGCCTCAGTTTTCGTAAAAGCTTTGCGGCTCCAATGGTTATGTCTGCTGAAAATGCTGTGGTTAATAATGCTGTTCAAATTTTGCCTTCTAGCATGCATAGGTTTTTTTTAAATTAAAAAAATTTTTTTGGGGACTGGGAAGATGATTTTGTATTCCTAACAGACAAAAAGCTTTCTGGAAACGAAAGTCAAAAAACCCTCCTAACAATGAATGGCAAATGCGAGTATTTTTTGTCGTCCATTAAGAGCCTTCTAATTTTAGAACATATGACAAGGGTATCCGAAAATTTCGTTGCGGTCAGGATATTAGAGAATTTCCCAGGATACGGCAACCCTTTTATACTTGGGGACATTTTGTCACCGATTGTCTATAAGCCTATTTAACTAATGTCTTTTGTTGGTTCCCTGAGAGTATCTTATGTTAGTTGGGGTTTCGAAACTGACCAGCACCTTTACATTATCTAGCCTAAAATTGGAGAGACCTCATAGGTCGTTTTTTACATTTTTGAAAAATATTTTTACTAAATTTTTGTTTACGTTCTCTTCGTTTTAAGTGCATCTCCCTTCCTTTCTGACACCTTTTTTTAATTAAAAAAAATTTTTTTTTGTTCAAGATTAGTCTACGAATCCTATGATAAATTTATCTCTGAATGTTCTACAACTTCCTCTTTAATTTCTCAATTATACATCAAAGCAGATAATGATTGGTGGATAGTTTTTAAACGAATGGAACGTCGTTTTTTGGCACTCTTTTTACCTCAACAATATTCAGCTACTACAACAATTGCAGATATACAAGAATGTGTTGATGGAATAATTCAATCAAGATTTCCAAATTTGTTTATTTCCTAATGTTTTTTGAAGGTCGTTTTTTATTGCTTATTTTGTGTAGCTAGAGATACCAGGGGTGTGCCATTTCGCCTTTTGTCTTTCGCCCTTTTTTGATGTGAGAAAATCCACACATTCTTGTATATCTGCAATTGTTGTAATAGCAGAATATTGTTGAGTGAAATATTAGTAGCACAGAATATTGCCCAAATAGGCGCGCGGCCATGTAGGCGCAAAGCCATAATTTGCTTCAATTTTTCCGAATCTTTTCAAATTTAGTATTAAACGATTCCTCACATCGAGCTAAAGAGGTTGGCACCAAAATTGATAAGGGCCAGAAATTTTCCAGCTAGTTATGGCTTTGCGCCTACATGGCCGCGCGCCTACTTGGGCGTATCCCTTTTTGGTGTTTTGCCTTTAACTTTTTCAAATCTGTTTCGGCACACCCCTGTACCTCTAAATTATATCCAAACAATTGAAATATTAGTTCATTTTAAATTTATGTTCAGAAAATAAATTTTTAAAAAAATTTAAGTGAAAAACTCAACTTTTTAAATCTTATTTTTTACAGACATTTTAATAAAATTTAATAATTCACTGTCGTTAGGCAACTTCCAAGGTAATTGGATTTATGCGCGGTCCTTAATTAACAAATATTTGATGAGTAGATCAGAAACTTTTAAACTTAAAAGTTGTACGTTTATTGAAAGACATGATTAAACCAGGGCTTCGATCTCGAATTTTTAAAAATCCGCAATTTTGAACAAAAAAATCCGCATTTGATATGAAAAATCCGCAAAAAATTATCAAACACAAAAGTTGAATTAAAATCACTTTATACGTTATATTTTTTGAATCCAACAATTGAATTGGGCAATTTTTTCCTACTAATGACTATTAAAATCCGTCAATTAAAAAGAAAATTATGTTGACTTGAGCCAGGCCCGTAGCCAGGATTTTTTTCGGAAGATGGGGGGCCAAGGGGGAAAATTTTTTCTGTTCCAAATTTTCGGCGCCTTCGGCCTCAAAAATTTTTATTTTCAGCGCCGCAGGCAAAAATTTTGAGAATTTTAGATGGCTTTAGGCCAAAAAATTCACTTTTTAGCACCAAAGGCGAAAATTTTTTAATTTTGGAGCTCAAGAAACTAGATTTCATACATTTTCAGCACCGCAGGCAAAAATTTTGCGGATTTTGGAATGCCAAGAAGCCAAAAATCGCCCTTTTTCAGCGCCGCAGGCGAAAATTTTGCGGATTTTGGAAGGCCATGAAGACAAAAAATGAAATTTTATCCTAAAAACTACAAGAAAATACAAAAAATCCTCATAATCTTCAAAAGACCACAAAAATCCGCAAATCCGCATTTTTAAAAATAATCCTCATCGCCCTATCAAAAAACCACAAAATGAGGAAAAATCCGCAGAAATCGAAGCCCTGGATTAAACTGATAGATTAAAGACTAAGAGCAAAGATACGAAAAAAATGAAGGATATTGGCGGATGTATTGTCAAAAGAAAGCACCAACAGATTTTATAGGATTATCTTTAAGCCTGCTTTTATATAGTTTCTCTTCGAGCCATTCCAATTTAGTATAAAAGCAGTAGTAAATCCTAGCTTAATTACAAATCAACAACCTCAACTTACAAACAACTGCGCACGACAACAGCTTCAACTTCACAAGTCAATGGCACAATCTGCGTACTTCGGTGGCGGTGGTGCAGCTGGTGGAGGCGGCGGTGGTGCATCTGTCTACATGGGAGCTGGAGCCGGCGGTCAGCAACCGGCAGCTGGAGGCGATTATGGAGCTGCTGGTGGAGGCAACGCGTCTGTCTACATGGGTGGTCCTGCTGGTGGAGGCGGAGGAGCCGGTCAACAAAGTGCCTACTTTGGTGGACCTGCTTCGGGAGGAGGTAAATAATTATTAATCCTAACTAATGACAATAATAAATAATTTATTTTTATTTAAGCTTCTGCTGTTGGTAGGTCTGCGGGTGGAGGAAGTGCTTTCGGAGGCGGCGGTGGAACCCAAACGGCTATGGTTGGAGGCGGCGGTGGCACTCAGACTGCAATGGGAGGATTTGGTGGCGGCACTCAGACAGCTCTCGGAGGGATGGGCGGCACCCAGACTGCGCTCGGTGGCATTGGAGGCACTCAAACTGCTCTCGTAGGGATGGGCGGCAGCCAGACAGCTCTCGGCGGGATGGGTGGAACCCAAACGGCGCTTGTTGGCTATGGCGGTGGAGGCACCCAAACTGCTCTTGGAGGCTTTGGTACGCAGACTGCTCTTGGTGGTTCTCCTCCTGCTGGAACGGCAACTGCTCTCGTTGGTGGAGGTGGTGGAACGCAGACTGCAATGGGAGGAGGATATGGAGGGACGGCAACAAGCTTGGGGAACGCTCCTGCGGCAGGTAGAAAATATTCTCTTTGTCATTTTAGCCATTAATCTTAATGTGTTAATTACAGGTACAATGACTGCTCTTGGTGGAGGAGGCGGCGGGACGATGACTGCTGCGGGTGGTGCTTCTCTTGCTGGTTCAAGTGAGTTAAAACTTAAATCCTAAACCATCATTAATTGAGCCTTTATTTTCATTTAAAGATGTTGGCGCTTCTTCGGCATATCTTGGAAGCCCTCAAACCGGTGGT